TAGAAAGGGGGCCTCATTACTCTGACCAGTGCCCTATCCTGCTGTGGTTGAGCTGGGTGTGGTGGCACACGCTTGTAATCCCAGCTATTTAGGAGGCTGAGGCAGGAGAATTGCTTGAACCTGGGAGGTGGAGGTTGCAGTGAGCCAAGATCATGTCACTGTACTCTAACCTGGGCGATAGAGTGAGACTCTATCTTAAAATAAGTAAATAAGGCTGGGCGCAGTGGCTCACGCCTGTAATCCCAGCACTTTCGGAGGCCGAGGCGGGCAGATCACCTGAGGTCAGGAGTTCGCCACCAGCCTCAGCATGGAGAAACCCTGTCTCTACTAACAATACAAAATTAGCCAGGTGTGGTGGTGCACACCTGTAATCACAGCTACTTGGGAGGCTAAGGCAGGAGAATTGCTTGAACCTGGGAGGCAGAGGTTGCGGTGAGCCAAGATCGTGCCATTGCACTCTGCCTGGGCAACAAGAGCGAAACTCCATCTCAAAAAAAAAAAAAAAAAAAAGTAAATAAATAAATAGCATGAGCTATACATTGATTGGCAATACATTGTTCTGTTTTTTTCAGAGACAGTCTTGCTCTGTTGCTCAGGCTGGAATGCAGTACACAATCTCAGCTCACTGCAACCTTTGCCTCCCAGGTTCAAGCAATTCTGGTGCTTTAATCTCCTGAGATGCTGGGATTACAGATGTGCGTCACCACGCCCAGCTAATTTTTATATTTTTAGTAGAGATGTGGTTTTGCCGTGTTGGCCAGGCTGATCTTGAACTCCTGACCTCAAGTGATCTGCCCGCTTCTGCCTCCCAAAGTGCTGGGATTACAGGTGTAAGCCAACACGCCTGGCCAGCTATACATTATTATTTGTATCACAAATTTCAAGAACAGAAAATAACAAGTGAGGCAGCTAGTCAGAAACAAAATGACTTTAAAACAGTCACCCCCAAGCAAATTCAGTTATAAAAAGACTGAATGGGGGCAGGTAATGACTGAAGTTCTATACTCGTGTCTTTGGGCCTGATGAATTTTGCATACTTCACATAGCTCAGACTGCTCGGAGTTATTTTTCTTTTCTCAGCATGATTGATTAAATCCTTGGCCACTGGTGATTCAACTCAACCTTCATCCTCTCCCCTCCCTGAATGATAAGGGTTTGGGCCTGGAAGCCCCAACTCTCTAATCCTGCCTTAGTATCCTGGAGCTCTCTAAGGGCCTCCAGACACCAGTCATCTCATCAACATACAAAAGACACTTATTACTCCAGAGAAGATTCCAAGGACTTAAGAGGGTTTTGTTGTTGTTGTTGTGTGTGTGTGTGTGTGTGTGTGTGTGTGTGTGTGTGTTTTCACCAGAAAACTGGGAGGGAGACCAAATATCTTTGTCAATATCACAGCCTCCCAGGCCAGACTCCGTGTCTCATATCTGTAATCTTAGCACTTTGGGAAGCCGAGGTGGGAGAATCATTTGAGGCTAGGAGTTCCAGACCAGCCTGGGCAACATAGCGAGACCTTGTGTCTACTAAAAATTGTTTTAAAAGTTAACTGAGCATAGTTGTGTTAGGCAGTTCTCATGCTGCTAATGAAGACATACCCAAGACTGGGCAATTTATAATGGAAAGACGTTTAATTGACTCACAGTTCAGCTGAGAGGCCTCAGGAAATTTACAATCATGGCACAAGGGGAAGCAAACATGTCCTTCTTCACATGGCGGCAGCAAGGAGAGGTGCTGAGCAAAAGGGGGAAAACCCCTTATAAAACCATCAGATCTCATGAGAACTCACTCACTATCAATGGAACAGTATGGAGGCAACCGCCCCCATGATTCAATTACCTCCCACCAGGTATCACCTCTTGCTCATGATACATGGGGATTATGGGAACTACAAGATAAGATTTCGGTGAGGAGATAGCCAAACCATATCAATAGTGATGCACACCTGTCGTCCCAGCTACTCAGGAGGCTGAGGTGGGAAGATCACTTGAGCTGGGGAGATCAAGGCTGCACAGCAAGACTGTCTCAAAAAAAAAAAAAAAATTTACAGCCTTCCAGGGCAAAGGGACATTTGGCAAGTCTGGAGACCGTTTTAGTTGTTACCACTGTAGGAGGTGCTACTGGCATCTGGTGGGTGGGGGCCAGTGATGCTACTAAGCATTCTGTAGTGCACATTATAGCCTTCTACAACAAATATTTATCAGGCCTAAAATGTGAACAGTACAGAGGCTGGTTTAGAGTTATTTGGTGTAATCACATCTAGTAGGTTCAAAGTGAAGCTTCTGCGTAATTTTAAAGAACAACATTCTTTTTGTTTGTATCACAGTCATACTCCAAGAGGTTTGGCTAGTGGTAGTATGGATGCTTTAATCTACTTTGTTGTTTACTCTGATTAGATGTTATAGTAGCTTGAAATGGTAACTTAGATTTTTGTTTGTTTGGTTTTTTAAACAGCTTTATTGCAATATAATTCAAATATTATACAATTCACTCATTTAAAGTGTATAGTTCAATGGCTTTTGTCCATGTTTTGATTGTTACCACAATCAACATTAGAACATTTTATTACCCTAAAAGAAACCCCATGCTCTTTAGCTATCACCCTATCCCCAATTCCCTCCCCACCACCAGACTAGGCAACCACTCATCTACTTTCTTTCTCTCTAAATTTGCCTATTACTGACAATTCATATAAATGGAATCATACAATATTTGGTCTGTTGTGCCTGGCTTGTTTTACTTAAAATAATACTTTCAAGGTTCATGGTAGCATGTATCAGTACTTCCTTTCTTTTTATGACATTGTATGGATATACTCTATTTGGTTTTTTTGTTTGTTTGTTTGTTTGTTTGTTTTTTGAGATGGAGTTTCCCTCTGTTGCCCAGGCTGGAGTGCAGTGGCGTGATCTCGGCTCACTGCAACCTCTGCCTCCTGGGTTCAAGTGATTCTCCTGCCTCAGCCTCCTGAATACAGGCGCCCACCACCACACCTAGCTAATTTTTGTATTTTTAGTAGAGATGGGGTTTCATCACATTGGCCAGGCTGGTCTTGAACTCCTGACCTCAAGTGATCCACTTGCCTTGGCCTCCCAAAGTGCTGGGATTACAGGTGTGAGCCACCATGCCTGCCTAGATATACTCTATTTGTTTATCCACTCATCAGTTGATGGCAATCTGGGTGGTTTCCACCTTTTGGCTGTTATGGATAATGCTGCTATGAACATTTGTGTGTAAGTTTTTGTGTGGACATATGTTTTCATTTATCTTGAATATATATACCTAGGTAGAATTGTTGGGTCAAATGGCAACTCTAGGCCAGGTGTGGTGGCTCACACCTGTAATCCCAGCACTTTGGGAGGCCGAGGCAGGCAGATCACAAGGTCAGGAGATCGAGACCATCCTGGCTGACACGGTGAAACCCCCTCTCTACTAAAAATATAAAAAATTAGCCGTGCGTGGTAGTGGGCGCCTGTAGTCGCAGCTACTAGAGAAGCTGAGGCAGGAGAATGGCATGAACCCGGGAGGCAGAGCTTGCAGTGAGCTGAGATTGCGCCACTGCACTCCAGCCTGGGCAACAGAGCGAGACTCCATCTCAAAAAAAAAAAAAAAAAAGGCAACTCTATGTTTAACCATTTGAGGAATTGCCAGGCTATTTTCCAAAGACACTATACTATTTTATGTTCCTGCCTGCAGTGTATAAGGGTTCCAATTTCTTTGCATCCTTGCCAGCACTTGTTATTATCTGTCATTTTTTTCTAGCCATCCTAGTGTGTGTGAAGCGGTATCTCATTGTGCTTTTGATCTTCATTTCCTTAATAGCTAGTAATGTTAAGCACCTTTTCATGTGCTTATTGGCCATAACTCAGATGTATCTAAGAATCAGAGTCTTGAACAGTGACCTACATGGAACTGGCTTTTAGAAGTCCAGACTTGCTGGGTGGCTTATGCCTGTAATCCCAACACTTTGGGAGGCTGAGGCAGGAGGATAGCTTGAGATAGAGTTTAAGACCTGCCTGGGCAACATGTGAAACACCCATCTCTACAAAAAATAAAAAAGAATTAGCCAGGTGTGGTGGTGTGCACTACTTGGGATGCTGAGGTGGGAGGATTGCTTGAGCTCAGGAGGTCAAGGATGTAGTGAGCCATGATTATACCACTGCACTCCAGCCTGGGTGACAGAGTGAGACCCTGTGTCAAAAAAAGAAGAAGAGGTCCAGACTCAATGCAAGGACTGAGAACAGGCCCAGTTATCTGGAAATTAGATAAAATTGAAGTTAGTAGATCACTGTCCAAGATACAGCCAAGAACGAGGAACGTTTAAGTTAATGACTGAATTGGTGGAACAGGAGTCAGAATTTAGATGTCAGGGATCAGAAATCAAGGAGTTTCCTAAATTAAATTCAGATGCTGAAGTTATACCACAACCATCAGCACAAGACCAAGGTAGTCTGGGCGCAGTGGCTCACACCTGTAATCCCAGCACTTTGGGAGGCCAAGGCGGGCAGATCACCTGAGGTCGGGAGTTCGAGATCAGCCTGACCAACATGGAGAAACCCTGTCTCTACTAAAAATACAAAAAATTAGCTGGGCATGGTGGTGCATGCCTGTAATTCCAGCTACTCGGGAGGCTGAGGCAGGAGAATCACTTGAACCCGGGAGGCGGAGGTTGCAGTGAGCCGAGATTGTGCCACTGCACTCCAGCCTGGGCAACAGAGCAAGACTCTGTCTAAAAAAAAAAGAAGAAAAAACAAAAAAGACCAAGATAAGCCAAATACTTGAGTCCACAGTCCACAGCAGTAGTTAAAGCTGGTGTTATGTAGGGAGTTATCCTTGGCCCACTCCCTGAAATGGAGGGCAGGAAGATGTGAGGCAGGGTAAGTATCTACATCCAGTGCCAGGCCCCTGACTTAAGCAAGAAGAGGAAATCCAAGAAAGGTGCATGTTGAGGAGGCAAAAGAAATTTTAACTGTGTTCAGATGTGTCTAAACTCAAATTTACTTTTACAGAAACTATAATGAGAAACATCAGCAACACAAAATCAAGCTTCAAAAAGTCAAGTATCGTTTAACGAATGAAGTAGAACTACGAGATAAGAGAATTAACGAATTTGAAGATGAAATTGGAATCCTGCAACATAAAATAGAAAAGGTGAGGAAAAAATAAAAGGTGAAGAGCTCACTGGTGATTCCCATGGTCAACCATTTGGAGAAAGCCCTTTCGTTTTAAAAATTATTTGTGACCCCTTCGTAGTCCTTGTTTTCATTTCTTTTCTTTGCACCATCTTTCAATGAGTAATTCTTTAAGCCCTGACCAAAAGTACATAAGACTTCTAGTGCTGCTAAACGGAACTGAATACTGAAAATACTCTGTACTGCCAACTTATGATCAGTGTCTTGCCTTCAGATGGAAATGCCTTTTCTTGAACACCCCCGAGCACAGACTCCCAAACCACTCTCAGTAACTCATTTCTGCTTTGTGGAGCCCTCATTTTGCCTCAGACTTCAGTGTCAGTTTTAAATGGCAGTGAAAATAGGTGATCCTTACTCCTGTATCAGTCCTTGCCCTCAAGCTTTTTTCTAAATGTCCATGGTTTATTTATGTTTGTCTTACTGCCCTTGTGACTTAGTGGTGTATGAATAAGAAGGAAATGGGGCAAATGAATAGAATCAAATGCAGAATGGTTGTGGGATTATTAAACTACATAATTTCAAGATGGAGAGTAACTGACTAGGCCAGTAAGGTTTTCCCTTCTTGGGATCACTAGCCCTTTCAGAATTTTGAGAACTCTGTCATCACTCCTAAAATAGTAATTTTCACATTCAACAAATTTTTATACCACCACTATGTGCCAAGGATACCATAACCATTAATATAATTTCAGTGATTCCTTCAACTATCCTGGGACTCTAGGTCAAGAATTCCCAGCCTATACACAATAAAGCATTTTTGGAGTATAACAGGTGGGTCACAAATACTGCATTCTTAGTTTTAAAAAAATTGGCTGGGTGCAATGGTCCATGCCTGTAATTCCAACACTTTGGGAGGCCAAGGCGGGAGGATTGCTTGAGGCCAGGAGTTCAAGGTTACAGTGAGCTATAATTGTGCTTATAAATAGCCACTGCACTCCAGCCTGGGCAACATAGAGAGGCTCTGTGTCTAACAAAAATAAAAAATCCTCTTGATACTCTAAACTATAGTGAAAGAAGAAAAATAAGTTGGATGTTTGCAGTCCTCCTTTTTTGCCGTTACTTTGTCAAACTTTTAGAGACTGAGATCCAGCTTAGAACTAGGAAAAGACGATGGAAAGTGTATAAGAAAAAGTAGCAATCCATTTTAGTAGTACCCATGGGCAAAAAAAAAAAAGAAGAAGAAGACGACCCTGGGCACGGTGGCTTGCACCTGTAATCCTAGCACTTTGGGAGGCCAAGGTGAGCGGATCACCTGAGGTCAGGAGTTCGAGACCAGCCTGGCCAACGTGGTGAAACCCCATCTGTACTGAAAATACAAAAAAATTAGCCGGGTATGGTGGTACAAGCCTGTAATTCCAGCTACTCAGGAAGCTGAGGCAGGAGAATCTCTTGAACCCAAGAGGCGGAGGTTGCAGTGAGCCGAGATCATGTCATTGCACTCCAGCCTGGGGGACAAGAACAAAACTCCGTCTCAAATAAATAAATAAATAAATAAATAAGAAGAGAAAGAAAGGAAAAAAAAGTAGCAACCCTAGTTCATGGATCCATCAGACATATCATCAGCCTATTTCTGTATTATCAGTTCTTTTTCATACTTTTGCATTTTGCTTCTAGGCTGGAAAAACAGTCTTCTCCTTTCAACAGGCATGCTCGCTTTCTTCCTGACTATACTGGATTGAATAGTGTCCCCTCAAATTCATGTCCTAGAACCTCAGAATGTGACCTTATATAGAAATAGGGTCTTTGCAGATATGCTTAGTTAAGATGAGATTATCCTGGATTAGGGTGAATCATAAATCTAAGATGATTGCTGTCCTTACAGGAAGAGGGGAAAGCACACAGACAGACACAGACAGGGGAAGAATGCCTCATGATGATGAAGTCGGAGACTGGAATGATACAGCTACAAGCCAAGAAATAGCAAGGGTTGCTGGCAACCACAAGAAGCTAGGAGAAAGGCATGCAACACAATCTCTCTTGGAGCCCCCATGAGTAATTAACCCTGACAACAATGTAATTTCAGATTTCTACCACTCAGAACTATGAGAAAATGTTATGGCAGCCCTAGGAAACTAATGCACCTACCCAAAGAACCACGGGTCTTCATAAAATATGCTGGAGCTCCCAAATAAGCAGAGGCTGAGAGAATAATTAGATCTTTTGCTCACTGCCATTGAAGGGTACTGTGGGCTTTGGCCTTAGATAGACTTGCATTCAAATTATAGCCCTGCCTGTAAGCTTGGACAAGTCTCTGTGTATCACTCTCCTCGTCTGTAAAATGAGGGAAATAATCCCTTCCCTACATACACCAGTCTTCTGTGAATATTAAAACATAAAATTTCTAAAGTGGCACTTGGCACATATAAATTTTTCGTAGATGTTATTTTCCTTTTTTTGGTATATAATTTCTTAGAAGGGCCAGGTGCAGTGGCTCACGCCTGCAATCCCAACTACTTGGGAGGCTGAGGCAGGAGAATTGCTTGAACCAGGGAGGTGGAGGTTGCAGTGAGCCAAGATTGCACCACCGCACTCCGGCCTAGGTGACAAGAGTGAAACTTCGTCTCAAAAAAAAAAAAAAAAAAATCTCTTAGAAGCATGTTAATTGGTGGACTTATTGTTCACATGAGAAATTGTTAACCAAATTAGAACTATTTAGCCTAGAGAAGACTGATGTTAGAGCTTTTAATGCCACAGTGGTACAAACCTAGGAATTCTAGGTATTTTAGGGCCTAAGGACCAGAGCACTGAGCATAAAAATGCCAGATTTGCCTTCTAAGTCTCCAAAACATAATGCCACTTATTTTGGCTTCATTCCTTCAGCTTTTTCTTTATATAATGAGTCAGTTGAGATTTCTTTTGTGACCACTCAAACTACACTTTCCCATTTTATCTTATTATCACAGCATGTGTCTGGAATTTTTGTTTGTTTTAAAAAATACAGTATTTCCCAAGGACAAGCTGTCAGTCACCTTCCTCATGCAGTACACTTTTTAATCCAGTTAAAGCTGTCTAGGATTTATCTGTGAGATGATTGCTTCTATTCTCAATCCTTACCAATACATTATTAATTCAATGTCTTTAAATTATAGCAGGTGAGACTACCATTAGATATTGCAGGGTCTCTGAGACGGACTTTAAAATCTGGAATAGTTTTTCCAGAACATCATCTAACCTACATCCTATAGGTCTTTAACAATAGATGGCTGGCCAGGCGTGGTGGCTCATGCCTGTAATTCTAGCCCTTTGGGAGGCTGAGGTGGGTGGATCACCTGAGGTTAGGAGTTCGAGACCAGCCTGGCCAACATGGCAAAACCCTATTTTTACTAAAAGTACAAAAATTAGCTGGGCATGGTGGTGGGCACCTATAATCTCAGCTACTCAGGAGGCTGAGGCAGGAGAATTGCTTGAACCCAGGGGGCAGAGGTTGCAGTGAGCCAAGATTACACCACTGCACTCCAGCCTGGGTGAAAGGGCGAAACTCTCTAAAATTAATAATAACAATAGATGACCAGTCTTTTCTGAATGACCTACATTAGTATCTTATTTAAAAGAAACATGTAGGTTGAGCACAGTGTCTCATGCCTGTAATCCCAGTCCTCTGGGAGGCTGAAGCAGGAGGATAGTTTGAGGCTAGGAGTTTGAGACCAGCCTGAGCGACAGAGCAAGACCCTGTTTCTACTATTTTATTTTTTACGTTAAAAAAAATTTTTTGAGACAGAGTCTCGTTCTGTCACCCAGGCTAGAGTGCAATGGTGTGATCCTAGCTCACTGCGGCCTTGAACTCCACATGTGGCTTTCATGTGTGTGTGTGTGGAGACGGGGTCTTACCATATTGACCAGGCTGGTCTCGAACTCCTGGGCTCAAGCAATCCTCCCACTTTAGCCTCCCAGAGTGCTGGGATTACAGGTGTGAGCCATGGCACCCGGCATCTGATTCTACAAAAAATTTAAAAATTAGCCAGCTGTGGTGGTTCATGCCTGTAGTCCTAGCTGCTCAGGAGACTGAGGCACATGATCGCTTGAGCCCAGGAGTGTGAGATTACCATGAGCCATGATTGTACCACTGCACTCCAGTCTGGATGACAGAGCTAGACCTTGTCTATAAAAACAAACAAACAAACAAAAAACCACAGTCAGACACAGTGGCTCACACCTGTAATCCCAAACCTTTGGGAGGCCAAGGCAGGCAGATCACTTATGGTCAGAAGTTCAAGATCAGCCTGACCAACATGGCGAAACCCTGTCTCTACTAAAAATATGAAAATTAGCTGGGTATGGTGGTGGATGCCTGTAATCCCAGCTACTCAGGAGACTGAGGCTGAACCTGGCAGGCAGAGGTTGTAGTGAGCCGAGATTGTGCCACTGCACTCCAGCCCGGGTGACAAAGGAAGATTCCATGTCAAAACAAAACAAAACAAAACAAAACACATGATCTCACTACTTTCAGGGTCATGAAAAAGAAGAAAAAAAAATACATGACATAGGCCGGGCGCGGTAGCTCACGCCTGTAATCCCAGCACTTTGGGAGGTCAAGGCGGGCGGATCACGAGGTCAGGAGATAGAGAGCATCCTGGCTAACACGGTGAAACCCCGTCTCTACTAAAAATACAAAAAAATTAGCCGGGCGTGGTGGCAGGCGCCTGTAGTCCCAGCTACTTGGGAGGCTGAGGCAGTAGAATGGCGTGAACCCGGAAGGTGGAGCTTGCCAAGATAGCACCACTGCACTCCAGCCTGGGTGACAGAGTGAGACTCCATCTCAAAGAAAAAAAAAAAAAAAATTATATATATATATGACATAAAATAACCTCTCGAAAACTGAAAAACTATTTAGCTACAACGAATGACAATGTCAGCAAACAGGTAGAAAGAGACTAGGGGACAGGAGAAAAAAAAGTAAATAAGGGAAAATTTTCTGCTAGATTTAGAAACAGGCTTATGCTCTTAAATTTATCATTCTCCTGCTGTGGTAATTAGGAGACTTTCTAATCCCTAGGAGAAGGCAATACAGGACCAGATCACTGCCCAAAATGATACCCTGCTTCTAGAAAAAAGGAAACTTCAGGAGCAAGTCATAGAGCAAGAACAGTTGATCCACAGCAACAAATGGACGATATCTTCCATCCAGAGCAGGTAGGTGCCATCCTGCCTGGAGCCAATGAACTCCACAACAGGATGTTTCTCCCTCAACAAAGAGATGGTTCTAGAGGCTGTCCTTTGAGTTTGTAGCCTACCCTATAACTCTCGCTCTGCTGTCTGCTGTTTTCAGCAGATCATACAAGTGGCAGAAATTGTTAAATCAAAGAGAAAAATATAATGGAGGAGGCTGGTTGGCTATTTAGATAGGCTGTTTCATAATGTCATTGCCTCACTGAGGACTTGGCTGTGTGCATTCTGGCCTGTCATTTTGTGTGTGTTGATCCACATTTTTATTATTCAATACCTATGGAATCAAGGTAGAATAAGAGGGAATTAGGCTCACAGAAGTAACTTAAATTCATGAAATCCACAGGATACCAGTGTATTAATTTTTAATGAGAAATATTATAAGCAGAAAATAAGTTACATTTTTTTTTTTTTTTTTTTTTTGAGACGGAGTCTTGCTCTGTCACCCAGGCTGGAGTGCTGTGGCCGGATCTCAGCTCACTGCAAGCTCCGCCTCCCGGGTTCCCGCCATTCTCCTGCCTCAGCCTCCCGAGTAGCTGGGACTACAGGCGCCCGCCACCTCGCCCGGCTAGTTTTTTTTGTATTTTTTTAGTAGAGACGGGGTTTCACCGTGTTCGCCAGGATGGTCTCGATCTCCTGACCTCGTGATCCGCCCGTCTCGGCCTCCCAAAGTGCTGGGATTACAGGCTTGAGCCACCGCGCCCGGCCCCAATAAGTTACATTTCAGCCAGCCTGAGCATTCTCTTCTTCATAGGAGACTTTAATTATAATCAAAGAGAGTGGGTTGATGTTAACAAATAATGTCACCAATAATAATTGGAATTATTAAGATTTGTCTGAGCAATTACTATATGCTAACTCTCTCATTCATTTAATCCTAACACCAATCCCAGAAGAGAGGCACTATTAGCCTTATTTTACAGATAGGAAGCCAAGGTCTAGAGAGGTGAGGGAACTCACCCAGCCCAGTCAGTGACAGAGCAGCATGTGGACCTCAGCAGCCTGGCCCTAGACCATAGCACCATAGTCTGGGGAGAGGACTGCCAAGCAGACTGGAATGTTCTTGTCCACTCCTTTGGGCACACATCTCTGGGCAGGCTTGGAGAATCTCTGATGATATTTTACTCTCTGTGTCTCCCTTTTAGATGTCCCATATAAATCACTGCTCTTCTCAAACTGTCATAGCTTCTGACAGTCAGGATCTAACACAATTAACTCATTACCTTTGCATTAATATGAATAATCTTTCTACCTTGCCCTACTGATGACACAATCACCTGGATTGGACTTGAATGTTTTCCTTAGAGTAAGTTTCTTCCAAGGAGTATTTCGTCATTTTACAGATAAGGAAACGGAGGCTCAGATTTGTCACAACAGTTTATATTTCATCAGGTTGCTATGCATATTAAATGAGCTAATACATGAAAAGTTTTAAGTGCTTATGGTGTGGGTAGGTTACATTGCATAAAGTACATGGCAAGTACTTGAAACATGGTTGCTGCTACTGCTACTACTATTTCTACTTCACAAGAAATCAGAAGCAGATCAGTATGAGAACAGAACCAGATACAAGCTATGTAGCTACAATATTTGAAGGGATACAGAGCCTCTCTTGTTTCATTCCCATCCCTAAATGGGATCATATCCTTCCTTAAATTTTTCAAGGGCTAGAATTAATACTCTTGTACATGTATTTAATAACCATGTACAGCCCAAAATCTTATTAACTTTCACTTCGTGTATTAGGGTTCTCTTAGAGGGACAGGAGATATATATATATATATATACACACACACACACACACACACTCTCATATGTGTGTGTATATATATGTATGTATGTATGTATATGTAAAGGAGACTCTGTGTGTGTGTGTGTGTGTGTGTGTATATATATATATATAAAGAGGAGTTTATTAAGTATTAACTTACATGATCACAAGGTCCACAATAGGCTGTCTGCAAGCTGAGGAGCAAGGAGAGCCAGTCTGAGTCCCAAAACTGAAGAACTCAGAGTCCTGTGTTCAAGGGCGGGAGGCATCCAGCATGGGAGAAAGATGTAAACTGGGAGGCGAGGCCTGTCTCTCTTTTTCACATTTTTCTGCCTGCTTTATATTCACTGGAAGCTGATTAGATTAAGGGTGAATCTGCCTTTCCCAGCCCACTGACTCAAATGTTAATCTCTTTTGGTGACACCCTCACAGACACACCCAGGATAATACTTTGTATCCCTCAATCCAATTAAGTTGACACTCAGTATTAATATCACACTTGGTCTTGGAATATGGTGGGAATTATTCTGTCAAACTTGCTTCTAAAATCTGGACAGTGGTCTAAGATCCAGAGCCAGTGGGAATGTAGTTTTGGGTTTTTAGTAATGATACAGAAATTTCTAATCATGCCACTGATTTATGCCATTCTTAGGGTACTTTACATGGATAAAGAAAATAAGCAATTACAGGAAAATAGTCTTCGTCTCACACAGCAGATTGGCTTCTTAGAGCGAATTATAAGGAGCATCCATATTCGCAGAGGAGAGGTAAGATGTGTGCTTCCTATTGGGCCTGCCTTTAATGTGAAGTTCGGGTTGCTACGGCTGCTGTGCTGTCTTTTCCCTTCATCTTTATATAGCTGTAGCTGGGCTCTTGGCCTCATGGTAGGCTGTGGCAAAGAGGCTCTTGGCTGCACATCAGGATAGCAGACCTTTAGACTGCTCTTGAACAGCCAGATTTTAGTAAACTATTTCCACCTGTGTAATCTCCAAGAAATTTGTATATGCCTCATAGCTTCTTCCTTAATACACTGTATTGTCATTGCCCTTTTTCTTCTCTATCTGATTAACTCAGCAGTGAGTTCCTGGAGGGCAAGGAGTGTATCTCATGTATTACTGTATCTATGGACAGGTACTCCATAAATATTTGAGAATGAATAAATATTCAGTGTTTTAACATATGTGCCTCATTCTCAACAGCCCTGTTTGCCATGTATGATTCTAGCCCCATACGAAAGATGAGCAAATCTGAGGCTCAGCGAAGTAACGTGAAGTTTCCTATGGCAAAAAGTCAAGCCTAAAGAGAGCATCTGAGTGAAAGAAAAGCAATTATGTTCCAAAAGTCCAAGCAGACAAGTAGCCAAATACAGAGAGATGCAGAAAATAGTACATGTTCAGATCAGGTCCATAGTCTGTCTGGTAAGCAAGTCAGCAAGAGGGACTTCAATGAACAGAATCATATTCTGAAACCAAGATGGAGGCTGATTACTTTCTTCTCTGGTTTATATCACCTACTAGATGTTTCTTCCCAAGATACTGGACAGTAGATCCTGCTTGTTGGTCAGTGTTGCTGTAAGACTTGTTTGGTCTCAGAGAGGTGATTATTTCCAAGCTATATGAGTGGGTTTTTGGGGTTTTTTCCAATTTTGTCAAAAGTAGAACTGCCAAGTAGTGTGTCTTGATATCCAGTAATTTATGTCTTTCCTTGAGCTACAACTGTTTTCAATTGTCTAGTCATTCATTCTTTTACTTATTCATTCAGCAAATACTTACCAATTCCAGGAAATGTCCTAGGTCCTAAGAATACAAAGATAGTCCCTGTTTTCAGAGGTCTTTGGTCTAGTAGAGAAGGATAGACACATTTGTAAATAAGTCCTATAGTATTACAAGTGCTGAGTTAGAAGACTTAATGGAGTATGTCTGGGACCAATAGCTTTGAGATGTATATTGTTACCCTTGAATCAAGATAAGGGTCACAACTATAGCACATCAAACTCAATATTCCATATGTGTCAAAGGTACTAACTTCTAACATCTTGATACCTGTTGGAATAAATAACTCCAAAATTGTTTTTAAACTTAGAATCTTAAGGAGTTTCCTGTTCCAAAATGGTGGCATAGAGGCAAGCTGGCTTCTCTCCCCGCAACAAAGAAACGGAAAGAAATATACAGCACTGAGGTCTGCACCTGCAACAATGCAGAACTCCAGCATGAGGATGAGTCAGTTCCCAAGGCCACCGAGAAGTGGAAACACTCTGAGCAGATGGTAGGAGAATCGAACTTCCGCATCCACAATGCCCTTCCCCTCAATCTGCCAGGCACCCACTGTTTGGAAAATCTCTCAACTTACGGTTTCTACGCTGGAAAAAGTAAAACTGAAGTAGTCAGATTCCCCACTTTCTTGGGTTTCCTAGCCAGAAACCAGTCCTTGTCTTAACCCGCGTGTAGTATCACAACTTCCTGAACGCAGAAATACCCCTGAAGACAGACATATCCCTGAAATATCCCTGAAACAGAGGAGGTGGGACTCTGCTCTGTAACTCAGCCAAAGAAGACATAAGAGTGGCTGTAGGAGCTATGTCCCCCAGGTCTCCTGGGCATGAACCCCTAGACAGCCTTCCCTCACTGCCAGGATAATCCGTTTGGGACCTCCCCTATTTGGGACAGGCAGTGCTCTGACCATTTACTAGAGCCAAGGTGAACCTGAGCTTAAGGTGCCACCTAGAGCCAAAAAGGAGGCAGGGATCTAGCATTAAAGATTTGGCTGGGTGCGATGGTTCATGCCTGTAATCCACTTTGGAAGGCTGAAGCGGGTGGATCACCTGAAGTCAGGAGTTTGAGACTAGCCTGGCCAACATGGTGAAACCCTGTCTCTACTAAAAATACAAAAAAATTAGCTGGGCGTGGTGGTATGTGCCTGTAATCCCAGTTACTCAGGAGGCTGAGGCAGGAGAATCACTTGAACCTGGGAGGCAGAGGTTGCAGTGAGCCAAGACTGAGCCACTGCACTCCAGCCTGGGTGAAAGAGGGAGACTCCATCTCAAAAAAATAAATAAATAAAATCAATACAAAAAAATAAAATTCACCAGGTAGCTGAATGGATAAAGAAATAAAACCCAACAATATGCTGCCCTCAAGAAACCCATCTCACCTATAAAGACACAGAGAATGAAAAGGAGTGGAAAAAGATATTCCATGCAACTGGAAACCAAAGAAAAGCAGGAATAGCTATAGTCATATCAGATAAAATAGACTACAAGTCAAAGACTAAAAACCTATATAATGATAAAAGGGCCAATTCAGCAAGTGAATATAACAATTATAAATATCTATGCATCCAACACCAGAACTCCCAAATATATAAGGCTAACATTAATAGATCTAAAGTGAGAGATGGACTGCAATACAGTATTAGTGGGGACTTTAACACCCAACTCTCCATAATGGACAGATCATCCTAACAGTAAATCAACAAACAGTGGAGTTAAACTACACACTAGACCTACTAGATCTAACTGACACTTATGGAACATACCCACTGCTGCAGAATACACATTCTTTTCATCAGCACATAGAACATTTTTCAGAATAGACCATATCTTAGACCACAAAACAAGTACGAATTTAAAAAATAGAAATTGTGTCAAGTATCTTCTTTGAACACAGTGAAATGAAACTAGTAAACAATAACAGGAAAAACCTTGGAAACTACACGAGCACATGGAAATAAAACAACATACTCTCAAATGACCAATGGGTTAATTAAGAGATTAAGATTGCACTCCAGCCTGGGCGACAGAGCAAGACTCCGTCTCAAAAAAAAAAAAAAAAAGAGAGAAATTAAGATGGAAAATTTAAAATATCTTGAAACAAATGGAAATGGGAATACAAAATCTATGGGATATGATGAAAGTCATATTAAGAGGGAAGTTTTTTGTTGTTTGTTTGTTTGTTTTTAGACGGAGTTTCACTCTTGTTGCCCAGGTTGGAGTGCAATGATGCGATCTCAGCTCACTGCAACCTCCGCCTCCTGGGTTCAAGTGATTCTCCTGCCTCAGCCTCCCAAGTAGCTGGGATTACGGGCATGCACCACCATGCCCGGCTAATTTTGTATTTTTAGTAGAGACAGGGTTTCTCCATGTTGGTCAGGCTGGTCTCAAACCCCCCGACCTCAGGTGATCCGCCCGCCTCAGCCTCCCAAAGTACTGGGATTACAGGCCTGAGCCATCATGCCTGACCTTAAGAGGGAAGTTTATAATAATAAACATCTATATCGAAAAAGTGGAAAGACTTCAAACAAACAACCTAAAGATGCACCTCAAGAAATGAGAAAAGCAAAAACAAACCAAACCCAAAACTGATACAAGGAAAGCAATAATAAACATTAGAGCAGGCTGGGCGCAGTGGCTCACACCTGTAGTCCCAGCACTTTGGGAGGCCAAGGTGGGCGGATCATGAGGCCAGGATATTGAGACCATTCTGGCCAACACAGTGAAATCCCATCTCTACTAAAAATACAAAAGAATTAGCTGGATGTGGTGGCACGCACCTGTAATCCTAGCTACTCGGGAGGCTGAGGCAGCAGAATCACTTGAACTTGGGAGGTGGAGTTTGCAGTGAGCCGAGATCACACCACTGCACTCCAGCCTGGGTGACAGAGCAAGACTGTCTCAAAACAAAACAAACAAACAAAAAGATTAGAGCAGAAATAAATGAAATTGAGATTAAAAGAACAATACATAAAATCAATGAAACAAAAAGTTGGGTTTTTTTTTTAAGATAAACAAAATCAACACATCTTTAGCTAGACTAAGAAAAAAAAGAGAGAAGACCCAAATAAATAAATCAGAAATGAAAAAGGAGAATAACAACTGAGATCTCAGAAATACAAAGAATCATTAGAGACTATTATGAAGAACTATATGCCAACAAATACGAAAACCTAGAAGAAATGGATAAATTTCTAGAAACATACAACCTACCAAGATTGAACCATGAAGAAATAGAAAACCTCAACAAACCAATAATGAATCATGAGATCAAAGCCATAATAAAAAGTCTCCCATCAAAGAAGAGATCAGAACCTACTGGATTCACTCCTGAAGTCCACCAAATATTTAAAGAATGAATACCAATCTTACTCAAACTCTTCAAAAAAAATAAAGAGGAGGGAATACTAACAAACTCATTAAATGAGGCCAGCATTACTCAGATGCCAAAACCAGGCAAGAATATAAAAAGATCATTCACCATGATCAAGTGAGATTTGGCCCAGGAATATAAGGATGGCTCAACATATGCAAATCAATAAACATGATACCCCACATTAATATAATAAAGGACAAAAACCATATGATCATCTTATTACATACAGAAAAAGCATTTGACAAAATTCAAATCCTTTCATGATAAAAACTCTCAAAAGATTAGGTTTAGAAGAAATATACCTCAATACAATAAAGGCCATGTATGACAAGCCCACAGCTAACATTATACTCAATGGTGAAAAGTTGGAAGCTTTTTCTCAAAGATCAGGAACAAGACAAGGATGCCCACGCTTACCACTTCTATTTCATATGTACTGGAAATCTTTGCCAGAGCAATTAGGCAAGAGAAAGAAATAAAAGGCATCCAAATAGGAAAGGAAACAGTGAAATTGTGTCTATTTGTTGACAACATGATCTTATATATAGAAATCCCTAAAAACTGTTAGAACTCAGAAGGAAATACAGTAAAGTTGCAGGATACAAAATCGGTAGTAGGGTGGTGTAGTAGTGGCAGCGAGGGGCTCGCAGAGGTACTCGGATTCTCGTAGCTGTGCCGGGATTTAACCACCACCATGTCAAGCAAAAGAGCAAAGACCAAGACCAAGAAGCGCCCTCAGCGTGCAACATCCAATGTGTTTGCCACGTTTCACCAGTCACAGATTCAGGAGTTCAAAGAGGCCTTCAACGTGATTGATCAGAACAGAGATGGTTTCATCGACAAGGAAGATTTGCATGATATGCTTGCTTCATTGGGGAAGAATCCAACTGATGAGTATCTGGATGCCATGATGAATGAGGCTCCAGGCCCCATCAATTTCACCATGTTCCTTACCATGTTTGGTGAGAAGTTAAATGGCATGGATCCTGAAGATGTCATCAGAAATGCTTTTGCTTGCTTTGATGAAGAAGCAACTGGCACCATTCAGGAAGATTACCTGAGAGAGTTGCTGACAACCATGGGGGATCGGTTTACGGATGAGGAAGTGGATGAGCTGTACAGAGAAGCACCTATTGACAAAAAGGGGAATTTCAATTACATCGAGTTCACGCGCATCCTGAAACACGGAGCAAAAGACAAAGATGACTGAAAGAATTTCAAATTCCAGCCAAACGTTCCTTGTTGCCACTTTGGGTATTTTTGAGATTTTCTCTTGCATGCCCTTAGCTTTACAGCTTTTGCATTTCCTGTTGTATTTATTCTCAGCCATTTTGGGCATATGTATCTTTATACTCAGACTGGAAAAGGGACTTTCTATTGATATCATTTTCAGAATAGAAAATAGGGGAATTTAACCTACCAGCCCTTTCCCCCAATAACTGTGGTCTATACAGAGTCAATATATTTTTTTCAGAGAAAGTTATTTGCTCGATTTTTTCTGAATCATAATTAAACTTTATGATAAAAAAAAAAAAACCAAATCAACACACCAAAATCAGTAGTGCTTCTATACACCAACAACACATTATCCAAAAATGAAATCAAGAAAATAATACAATTTACAGTAACTACAAAAGAAATAAACTACTTAGGAATAAATTTAACCAAAGAGGTGAAAGATCTGTATACTTAAAACTACAAAACTTTGATGAAATAAATTGAAGAAAACACAATAAACGAAAAGATATGGCTGGGCGCGGTGGCTCAAGCCTGTAATCCCAGCACTTTGGGAGGCCGAGGCGGGTGGATCACGAGGTCAGGAGATCGAGACCATCCTGGCTAACATGGTGAAACCCCATCTCTACTAAAAATACAAAAAAAAAAACTAGCCGGGCGTGGTGGCGGGCGCCTGTAGTCCCAGCTACTCGGAGGCTGAGGCAGGAGAATGGCGTGAACCTGGGAGGCGGAGCTTGCAGTGAGCCGAGATCGCGCCACTGCACTCCAGCCTGGGTGACACAGCGCGAGACTCCGTCTCAAAAAAAAAAAAAAAAAAAAAAAAAAAAAAAAAAAAGATATTAGTGTTCATGAATTGAAAGAATTAATATTGCTAAAATGCCCATACCACCCAAAGCAACCTATAGGTTCAGTGCAATACCTATCAAAATTCCAATGTCATTTTTCATAGAAATAGAAAAAACAGTCCTAAAATTCATGTGGAACTATAAAACTCGCAAATAGACAAGGCAATATTCAGCAGAAAGAACAAAGCTGGAGGCCTCATACTACCTGATTTCAAACTATATTACAGGTTGGGTACAGTGGCTCATACTTGTAATCCCAGCACTTTGGGAGGCTGAGGCGGGCAGATTGCTTGAGCTCAGGAGTTTGAGACCAGCTTGTGCCCAGGAGTTCAAGACCAACATGGCAAAACGCCATCTCTACAAGAAAGTAAAAAATTAGCCGGGCATAATAATCTCAGCTACTTGGCAGGCTGAGGCAAGAGGATTGCTTGAAGCCAGGTAGTAGAGGTTGCAGTAAGCCATGATTGTGCCACTGCACTCCAGCCTGGGTAACAGAACAAGATCCTGTCTAAATATATATATATAACAGAACTATAGTAATTAAAACAACATGGGACTGGCATTAAAAGAGACACACAGACCAAATGGAACCACATAGAGAGCCTAAAAACAAACCCACACATTTACAGCACATTGATTTTTCTTTTTCTGTTGCCCAGTCTGGAGTGCAGTGGTGCAATCATAGCTCACTGCAGCCTCAACTTCCTGGGCTCAAGCAATCCTCCCACCTCAGTCTTCCAAGTAGCTGGAACCATAGGTGCACACCATCACACTCAGCTAATTTTTAAAATTTTTTGTAGCAATTGGGTCTTGTCATGTTGCCCAGGCTGGTCTCAAACTCCTGGGCTTAAGCAATGCTTCTGTCTTGGCCTCCCAAAATGCTGGGATTTAGGTGTCAGACACCACCCCTGGCCTACAGTCAGTTGATGTTTTGACAAAGGATGAGAATGACATTGAGAAAAGGACAGTCCCTTCAACAAAACAGTATTGAGAAAATTGGATATCCACGTGCAAGAAGAATGAAAGTGGACACTTACCTAACACTACATTAAAAAATCAACTCCAAATGGATTCAAGACTTAAAGACAAGACCTGAAATTGTAAAACTACTAGAAGAATACCACATAGCAAAAAACTACATGATGTTGATCTGGACAACAATTTTTTCAATTTGACACGAAAATTTCAGGGAACAAAAACAAACATACACAAATGGGATGGGATTACATCAAACTAAAAAGCTTCTGCATAGCAAAAGAAACAATTAACAGAGTGAAGAGGCAACCTATGGATTGGGAGAAAATATCTGTAAGCAACACATCTGATAAGGGATTACTATCCAAAATATATAAAGATCTCAACTCAATAGCAAGAACATAACCCAATTAAAAAGTGGGCAAAGGGCCTGAATAGACATTTCTCAAAAGAAGACATACAAATGGACAACAGATATATGAAAAAAAAAAAAAAAAGCTCAACATCATGAATCGTTATGGAAATGCACATTAAAACCACAATGAGATATCACCTCACACCTGTCAAAATGACTATTATCAAAAAGATGAAAGATAAGGGTAGCCCAAACCTGTACCCAGCAGTTTGGGAGGCTGAGGTGGGAAGATTGCTTGAGATCAGGAGTTCTAGATCAGCCTGGGCAACACAGCAAGACCCTGTATGTAAAAAAAAAAAATTTTTTTTGTTTTAATTAGTTGGGTGTACATCTGTGGTTGTAGCTTCTCAGGAGGCTGAGGTGGGAGGATTCCTTAAGCCCAGGAGGTCAAGGCTGCAATGAGCTATGTTCACATTACTGCACTCCAGCCTTGGTGACAGAGCAACACCCTATCTCAACAAACCAAAAATATGAAAGATAATGTGTTGGCAAGGTTGTGGAGAAAAGGGAAACCTTGTACACTGTTGTTTGGAATATAAATTAGTACAGCAATTATGGAAAACTGTGTGGAGTTTCCCCAACAAAGTGAAAATAGAACTACCATATGATCCAGCAATCTTACTTCTGGATATACATCCAAAGGATTTGAAGTCAGGATGTGATATACACCATGGTGTGTGAAAATGTGGTATATATACACAATAGAATACTATTTAGCCTTAAAAAGGAGGGAAATTCTGTCATTTGCAACAACATTGGTGAACCTGGAGGACATTACGCTAAGTGAAAAAAAGCCTGGCACAGAAAAACAAATACTACATCTTCTCACTTAAATGTGGAATCTAAAACAATTGAACACATGTAAGCATAGAGCAAAATGCTGGTTACCAGAGACTGAGGGGTAGGGAGGCAATGGCCAAAGGTGCAATGTTTCAGTTAGACAGGAAGAATAAGTATTTGAGGTGATGGATATGTTAGTTACCTCAATTCAATCATTTCATATCATGTATCATAGCATCACTTTGTACCCATAAGTATATGCACTTATAATTTGTCAATATTCAATAGTAAAAATATAAATTTTAAAAAACTTTCTGACCATCACAATATCCAAGAGAAATAAGAATATATGTCCTACCAGAAACTTGTACATAAATATTCATAGCAGCATTATTCATAATAACTAAAAAGTGAAAACAACCCACTCTCCATCACCTGATGAATGGACGAACAAAATGTGTTTTATCCAAACATTGGAATATTATTCAGCCATAAAAGACATAAAGTATTAATACTTACTATAATATAATGAACCTTGAAAACATGATAATATTTTAAAGAAGGCAGACATAAAAGGCCACATGATTCCATTTATATGAAACATTCAGAATAAGGAAATCCATAAAGACAGAAAGTATATTAGTGATGCCAAGGATTGGGGGAGGAATAAATGGGGAGTAGACTGCTCCCAGGTATCGGCTTTTTTGGGGGCTGATGAAAATGTTCTGGAATTAGATAGTGGTGATGGTTGCATAACTGTGTGAGTACATTAGAAAGCACTGAAGTGAACCCACTAAAAGGGAAAACTTTATAGTATGTGAGTTACTTCTCAACAAAGCTGTTATTTTAAAAATAAATTTTCTGCAATATCTCCAAAATATATGTAACAAAAGAAAGAAGCAAGGTGAAGATAGTATGTCTAGTACCACATGTGTAAAACTAGACAGACAGATATAGATAGATTGTCTATAAATAGATATAGATAGATTATAGAGAGAGAGAGTGAGAGGGCAACCAGCTTTTCATTCTATACCCTTTTATGTTTTTCATTGTTTGTACTATGTGGAGGTATTATATCTATTATATACATATTTTTTCTAGGATCATATAGCTAATGATTTATCACTATAACCTTTCACATTCATCCTTTCTTTCCTTTTAGGAAACAACAATTAGTGACATCCTTGAATCTGAAGTAGTGAATGAAATACTGCCTTTATCAAACTCCAGGTTAGTAAAGTTAAGACAAGTAAAGTCAAGTCTATCTGAGATGGACTCGCAGCCACGCCTGAGAGTCATGGCTGCCTAACTAGTCCTGGATTGCTGGCTTGAGAAGGCATAGCATTCTGGGGTCATTTTCTCTACATGAATTATTTGAGTCTTCTTCCAATTCCTCCCCTTGCCACTCCTTCACCCCTAAACCCCACAGAATCCTGACTTAAGGTAGGAAATAAAATATGAACATAGGTTTAAGGTAAATTTTATTTGGCTTTCTTTGTGTAAGAGTTGCAAAAAATTGAAATTCTATTAATGCCTATATCCCTGTAACCCCAAACTGCTACCAAGAAACTCTTGTCTACGTGATGTCCTCACATATGGCCTTTCTTAGTTTTTCAGGAAAAGGTCTGGTAGAGTCATTTGTAAGTCTTCAAGAGACTGACGACATTAAGTCAAAAGAAGCAATGGCAAGTTCGAAGTCCCCTGAAAAGTCCCCTGAGAATCTTGTGTGTTCACAGAATTGTGAGGCTGGATACATAAATGTGACTTCTCTGAAAGAGACACATGGTATACAAGAACAAGACCAAAAGTCAGAACTATAAAATCACTGGTGCCTAAAGCTATACTGAACAAAACTGCTAACTTAAAGCCTGGACAAAAGGTGGACCATGACATTGAGAAGAGTTACCACAGATCCCAAATGGATATCAGCCAAGAGTCTTCAAAATTGCTGATAAATTCATTAAAGCAATTCTAAAAATGGATTTCTCAAGTTTGTTTGATATCCTCAGATGCCTTGTATTGGCCAAAATATTTACTTTAGTTCAATGATTTATTTAGGTTTCTCTTCAACAGAGCACATGTATGGTTAATTAAGCATTCTTTCCTATTATCGTGGGTTTCTTTTATGATTTATTTTTTAAGAGTAAAAACAATACAGTCACATTAAAGCAAATTTTGTTTTCAAAAAAACCCTCCTAGGATGGGCGCAGTGGTTTACACCTGTAATCCCAGCACTTTGGGAGGCCGAAGCAGGCGGATCACGAGGTCAGGAGATCAAGACCATTCTGGTTAACACAGTGAAACCCTGTCTGTACTAAAAATACAAAAAAATTAGCCAGGCGTGGTGGTGGGTGCCTGTAGTCCCAGCTACTCGGGAGGCTGAGGCAGGAGACTGGGTGAACCTGGGAGGCAGAGCTTGCAGTAAGCCGAGATAGCACCATTGCACTCCAGCCTGGGAAACAGAGCAAGACTCCATCTCAAAAAAACAAAAACAAAAACAAAAACCCTCCTATAATACCACAAGCTTTTTTTTTTTTTTTTTTTGAGATGGAGTCTCACTCTGTCACCCAGGCTGAAGTGCAGTGGCATGATCTCCGCTCACTGCAACCTCCGCCTCTCGGGTTTAACCAATTCTCCTGCCTCAGCCTCCCAAGTAGCTGGAATTATAGGCACCCGCCACCACGCCCAGCTAATTTTTGTATTTTTAGTAGAGACGAGGTTTCACCATATTGGCCAGGCTGGTCTCAAACTCCTGAACTCAGGTGATCTACCTGCCTTGGCCTCCCGAAGTGCTGGGATTACACCAATACCACAATCTTAACTATTTTTATTTTACAATTATTCCCTTTTGGTCCTAATTCAAGTGCATATATTCTAAATTGTTATTATTATAATATTGTATATTCATTTTCACAGTTTGATTTTTAATTTACTGTATATACCATGGAAACATTTTCAATAGCCATATGATATTCAATCATGTTGATGTTCTATAATTATTTTTATGGGAAAAGTTTTAAATGTTTAATGAAGAAGATTTAGAGCAATACATTATTTAAAAGTGGACAGGAGGTTGGGCACGGTGGCTCACACCTGTAATCCCAGCACTTTGGGATGCCAAGGTGGGCAGATCACCTGAGGTCAGGAGTTCGAGACCAGCTTGGCCAACATGGAGAAACCCCATCTCTAACAAAACTACAAAAACAATTAGCCAGATGTGGTGGTACGTGCACTTCTAGTCCCAGCTACTGGGGAGGCTGAGGCAGGAGAATCACTTGAACCTGAGAGGCAGAGGTTGCAGTGAGCGGAGATTGCACCACTGCACTCCAGCCTGGGTGACAGAGCAAGAATTCATCTCAAAAAAATAATAATAAAATAAAATAAAAGTGGATAGGAAAATACCAAGAGCTTTTCCTGGAGGAGGGAGTATGAGAAGAGAGTTCACATAAACCCCACTACATAGAAACTACCCCTAAATATTTCCAAATAGGAGTACAAAGTAGGTGAACAGTCTCCAACTCATCTTTAGTGTAGTGGGACTGCTTCTTCAGAAAAGATCAGCCACACTTACATCCATGTCACCAGTCAGGATGGGACAGCACTGCTCAGTATCTCTGAGGATGTGGATGTTCTGTAAATTACATGTTCTCATGTTCTCTTGTTTGGCATTTATGTTGTTTTTACTTTTTTTTTTTTTTTTTGAGACAGGGTCTCACTCTCTCACCCAGGCTGGAGTGCAGTGGTGTGACTGAGCAGCCTCAGCCTCCCATGCTTAAGTGATCCTCCCTCCTCAGCCTCTCCCAAGTACAGGCACATGCTACCATGCCTGGCTCATTTTTGAACTTTTTGTAAAGACAAGGTCTTACTCTGTTGCTCAAGCTGGTCTCAAATTTCTGGGCTCAAGTGATTCTCCCACCTCAGCCTCCTAAGGTGATAGGATTATAGGCATGAGCCTCTATGGTTTTACTTTTTTGCTAATTAAGATTATGCTGTGTTGAAGGTCTTTGTGCATGTAGTTCTTCTTTTGAATTATTCCAGAAAACAAATTCACACGATTGGACTGAGTCAAAGGATATAAATGTTAATATTGCTCTAGGACATCACTTCCTTGCTTTAAAAAAGGGTTCTGCCTGGCCAGTTGCAGTGGCTCACACTGGTAATCCCAGCATTTTAGGAGGCCGAGGTGGGCGGATCACTTGAGGCCAGGAGTTCAAGACCAGCCAGGCCAACATGACAAAACCCTGTCTCTACTAAAAATACAAAAATTAGCCGCGTGTGGTGGTGCATACCTGTAGTCCCTGCTATGCAGGAGGCTGAGGCATGAGAATCGCCTGAATCCGAGAGGTGGAGGTTGCAGTGAGCTGAGACCACTCCACTGTACTCCAGCCTTAGCAAAAAGTGAGACTCTGTCTCAAAAAAAATAATAATAATAATAAATAAATAATAACATAAATAAAAAAGTGTGTCAACATACTGTTTTCATAGTCAAGTTACTCAACCTCCTTGAGCCTCAATTTCTTGATTCATAAAATGGGAACAATAATAGTTATCTATCCCACAGGGTTGTGAGGACCAAATGAAACGAAGCATGTAAATTATTTAGCACTTAGTAACTGCTTAATAAATGCTAGCTATCATCATTTATTTTCACTAGCAGTTTATCAATGTACTATTTTTTTCACAACCTCATCAACATTGGGTATTATCAATTTTAAATATTTATTCTAAAACAGTTGGTATAAAATTATACTGAAGCATGACTGCTGCTGTTCCTTTTCTCCCTCTTCCCCTTTCTTCTTTTTCATTTGGAGGCGACCAAGAGGAGAGGATCAGTAACCAGGAATAAAAATGACCCTTTAAATTGAGACACACTGGATTTTTATATGTAATTCTTGCTTCCTCCGACGACAGAGCTAGAAAAGATGATCAAAGGACCTAGGAAATAATAACTATTATATTAAATGCATGCTGTTATAGCTAATGAGTCTTGCCCAAGTTCCCCTTCTTTCACTAAATTCATTGAATCTATTATATTTACCTACTATGTGCTATTCAGTAGGAGACATTGCAGCTATAGCTGCGAACAGGACTGGGAGAGTCTCTACTTTCATGGAGTTTATATGCTATTAGGGAGGAAGATGTATGTGTGTGTGGCAGGAAATGAGGTGCAGACACATACCATACAAATGTGAAATGGGGGGTGGCATGAAGAAAACAAACCAGTGATCTGAGTGACCAAGGGCTACTTTAGATTAGGTCTAATGTTGCCTCTGAGGAGGTAACATCTGGGGTGAGCCCTGAACTACAAGGAGCATTACTTCCCACACACATACCCCAACCAAACCCCACCATCACCCCGCCAACCCACATTAAGATCTGGAAGGAATATTTCAGACAGAAGAAACAGCTATTACAAGGCCTTAAAGAAAGGAGGGATCTCAGTGACCTGGAGGAACAGACAGGTCAGAGCATAGTAACTAAGGGCAAGTGGTACAAGATGAGGTCAGGTAGGTGATAGCCAGATAAATGCACTGGAGGGCTTCCTATGTACAGAATTGGATTTTATTCTAAATATAGGAAGCCAGGAGTTATTTTAAAAATAAATAGGAATCACAAGAGGTATTTTAAAAATAAAAAATAAAAAACTCTAGTTACTCTGTGGGAAACGAATTGGAAATGACCAAACTGGGAGCTTGTGGCAGAACGGAAACATAATCTATTGCCTGACTTAGAGGAAGGGACAAATATTTACTTAGCAAGCCTTTACGTGCCAAGCTGTTCTAAACGCTGAGGATGAACAAACCGGAGTTCCTGCCTTCACGGTGTTCACAGACTAGCGGGCAGAAGCACACAGCACGTGTGGCGGTGTAGAGGGCTTGGTTGCAAGAGCCGATAAGGAGGACCCTGGCGACTGCCTAGTCCAAAAGCCCTAGCTAGAGCAAGATCAACTTGTACTGCCCTTAGTACAGCCACGTGAGTGGGGTGACCATCGACCTTAACCAAAAAGATGTCAAGGCTTTCCTCCTCCTCACTCCCGCGTCCCCCGTCTCAGGGAGAGTCTCCCAGCTAGACCCCAGCAGCCTCAGCACACACCGCACGGGGCGACACCTTCCGGGGGCGGGGCCCGGTCTCTCTCGGCGTCCACCGCGCCTGCTCCCCGGACGAAACCCGCGGACAGGGCTTTAGGTTCGCCGGAATCCCACGCTCCCGACTTCTGCTTCCGGGTCGGAGCCATGGCGGTGGCAAATTCAAGTCCTGTTAACCCCGTGGTGTTCTTTGATGTCAGCATTGGCGGTCAGGTGAGATCCAGGACGCTACCCACACCTGCGCCGAAGGGAAACTGCTCGGGGCTAGCTAGGCAGGCAGAACTCACCCAGAGAGAGCGGACTCGGGAAGCCAGCCAGAAAGCGAAATTGCACCCGAACCTACCGACCTGCAGGGCGGGGAGAAATGAGGAGGAGAAGTCTCCCCAGTCCTAGCGCCCCGCTTCTGGAGGAACTGGGCGGTTAGACCAGGGAGGCGGAGGTGGGTCATACCGAGCGGCAGGGTGGTGGGTCAGCCCATCCTGCCCCCAGCTCCGTGAAGCCCTCATGGTCTTGGACTGGGCCTTCTGACAGTCTCCCGCTGATTGCAGGAAGTTGGCCGCATGAAGATCGAGCTCTTTGCAGACGTTGTGCCTAAGACGGCCGAGAACTTTAGGTAAGGACGTGCTCCAGTTCCGCTGGATTAGCTGAGGCAGAAGTCGGGCTCTAGTCAGCCGCCTGAATAGCCTGTCTACCTCTGTCCGTCCGCTCACTGCTCTTGAGACCTGATTCCTCCGTGCATTGCTCTGTCTGGTTGCCGTTTGGATTGTTCCCGTGTTAATTTACGTTGTTAGTCTGTATGTCTCCGTGTTTGGACGTCTGGCTGGCCGATTGGTGGACGTGCTGGCTCCATTGTTTATTCTTTCCCGTCTTTAGAGGCGGTCACGACTGTGATGTCATAGTGATTGAATCGTTCACTTTTTGTCCCTTTCAGGCAGTTCTGCACCGGAGAATTCAGGTCAGTTTCAGATGTGTTTGACTTCTTTGCCTGCTCCAGAAGGGTGTTCTGGGGCTGCGGTGAGGGTATCGGTGAACTAGCTGCTGGCCTTGAATGATTGCTGGTGACAGTGATAGAAGGTAATGCCCCAAGGGTCTGTCCCTAGTTTATTTGCCTTCTTTATGTCTGTCAACCATCTTTAGGCTCCAGTGCATGGTAAACTGGAAAGGCCTTGTGCTACCTGCTATCACTCCAAGTCTCTTTCTTTTTGTTATAGAAAAGATGGGGTTCCAATAGGATACAAAGGAAGCACCTTCCACAGGTAAGGCTTTTGGCAAGCCATCCTAGAGTCTTTCAGAAATATTTCCTGGGGGATTAGGCTCTTTAGAGGAAAATAAAACCAGAGGTAATTCTTACATTTCTTGGGAAGAAATGTTTTTGTGGACTCAATAACTGAAGATTTATTAAACATTCTAACTCTACTTATACTCTCCCACTTCTTATGTCTTTAAAACAGAAACTACTCATCTTTACAATATCCTGTCTTTTTCATGCACTTGTTTGTGCAAATGCAGATTTTTAAAGAAGTACACTTGTAATCCTAAAGTGTATATAATATATCCTGCTGGTTGCTATTTATAACTAATTCCTAAAATGATCATATATGATTGTCCAAGGATAATCATATTTCCTGGGGAGTGGAGTATGGCAACACTTAGTCTCATTTCAATATAGAATCTTTCTCATGGCCTCACTGTGGTTAGTAACAATGTTAGCACATAATTATATCACAGCTTTAGAACTGTGGGTCTCTAATCCCCAGTAAGACTCCTGTGAAGTGGTATGTGTGATCTGCATTCTACAGAGGAGGAAACTGAGGATAACAAAGGTTAAGGACCCTCCCTAGGGGTAATAGCTAACAATTGTTAAGCCCTTACATGTGTAGCAGTACCTTTCACATAAATTCTCTGTAGTTCTTTCCCCCAAATTTACATCAAATCCTTGATCTGCCTTTTGCTTTGGCAAGTAATGTGGTCATTCTTCCTGCAGGCTTTCAGCCTCTTCTTCTTGTTACTGTTCAAGTACCAGATCATGCACTTGATCAACTCTAACATGCCCTAATTTATAACTAAAATCCTTTTTTATGGTTAATTATCCTTTCAGCTTAATCATTCCAGGAAAAGAATAATCTTCTTTTTTTGTTGTTTTGGTTTTTGGTTTTTGGTTTTTTTTTGAGACAGAGTCCCGCTCTGTCACCCAGGCTAGAGTGCAGTGGCATGATCTTGGCTCACTGCAACCTCCGCCTTCTGGGTTCAAGCAATTCTTTTGCCTCAGCCTCCCAAGTAGCCGGAAATACAGGCATGTGCCACCATGCCTGGCTAATTTTTGTATTTTTAGTAGAGATGGGGTTTTGCCATGTTGGCCAGGCTGGTCTCAAACTCCTGGCCTCATGTGATATGCCTGCCTCGGCCTCCCAAACTGCTGGGATTACAGGCGTGAGTCACCGCACCCAGCTAAGAATGGTGATTTTATAATAGCCAAAGTTACAGTGTATTTTGAAATCAATGTTAATCTAATACAATAATAACAAAGTCTCCATAAAATCTCTCAGTATTCTTTGCTCTCTGTTTCAGGGTCATAAAGGATTTCATGATTCAGGGTGGAGATTTTGTTAATGTAAGTACTATTCCTTTTCTATCAAAGACCTGCAGTTTAAGTTTTTATTATTGTTGCAATTGCTGTTTTTACTACAGAGACCCAGTCTTAAGGCTTGAGAACAATAGCCAGGTTTGATGGGGGTGTTGGAGAGAATGGTGATGGGGAAGTTCTTGAAAGTGGCTAGGTACAACTGACTGTAGATAACAGACTTTAGCACTTTGATTGAGGCATTAACTTCCATGGTCCAAATCTCAGCCTTTTTGAGCCAGAAATTGGACTTTTTAAGAATACCCTCTAGATGATCTATGATAGGTTCACACTAATTAGTCATATGAAACTTAGTCAGAAATCAGCTGTGGTTTGTTTTTGTTTTTGTTTTTTTCTGAATGGAGGTAAATCTCCTTCTAGTGGAGAGAAGAAGGAGAAGAGAAGAGAAGAAGAAGTGGAGAAAATGTCTCATTTTCTCTTTTACTTCTGGTGTCACAGTGCCTGGAAAGCTGAGTTTTTCATAAGAAGTTGATTTGTGGGCAAGGAATCAGAGCGAGATAGGTAGATAGTTCTGGAGGAGTTTTGTGCTATGCACTGGGAGGGCCCAGTGAAATAGTTCTTTTTTGCTAACCATAACTTTCTTGTAAGTAGACTGTTTTTTTCCCCCAAATGAAGCCTCCCTCCCCACCCCAACCTTGGAGGGTGTGGGATAAACTACAGTTTTTCTTTCTTAAACCTGCTTTCGTCCTTACCCACCCACTTCAGTGCATGGTCTTTCTTTACTCTTATTAATATCATTTGGTTAGTTGTGTTGCTATTTTCCTGGATCTGGGAGACATTTGTCCTCTTTTATATGTTTATTTAGTCCGGCTCTCATGAGTTTTTAAGACCTCTTTCCTTTCCTATGCAATATAGGGTTGCAGAGTGGCAGGTTTTAGGCTGATTTATGCTTTTACCTATGTTTTGTTTCATCTGCATGGTGTTGTATAACTGTGAAATGGCACCAAAAAAAAAATTCTAGTTTTGTTTTCTCTTTAAAAAATGGAAAGTGGAAGTATGCTGGGCCTGCATTTCTCACAGTGGCAGTGACAGTGACAATTGGTTGGAATAAAGGAACTGGTCCCTCTGGACATGGCATATCTTTGCCATTTCACCAGTCTCCACAACTGTTTCCCTTATTTAGGTTGCCTGCTCCTGTAGGCATTTGTTTGCAACCCCTGGAAACAAATAATAGTAGTGGGGTTTGTTAGCTGGTAAGAAGGGCGGAGAAGCTATCCTCTCTGCCTTCTTTCCTTTCTTTTCCCCTAGGCTCCCCTGTTGCCCAAGGAGAGGAATAGCTTTTTACTAGTCTTTGCCCCAGGCACATCTGATCACTTGTTGATAACTCTGGGGTTAGACAATAGTTGCTCATTCTGAAGGGTGAGTTAAAAGCAATTGGTGGCAGGGCTCACATCTGTAATCCCAGTACTTTGGGATGCTGGAAGGATTGCTTGATCCCAGGAGTTTGAGACCAGCCTGGCAACATAGTAAGACCCTGTCTCTACAAAAATAAAAAAAGTTATTTTTATTTTCTTATTTTTGGTGGTGTGCGCCTGTAGTCCCAGGTACTTGGGAGGCTGAGGTAGGAGGATCCCTTGAGCCCAGGAGGTCAATTCAAGGCTGCAGTGAGCCATGTTCATGCCACTGCACTCCAGCCTGAAGGACAGAGTGAGACCTTGTCTAAAGGAAAAAAAAAAAAAAGCTTGCTTAGAACCTTCCTTGGGGAAGGCAAAATGGAATGAGCAAGCGCCAGAAAAATCAGAATTTGAGACCTTCCAAAGTTGGACCAAGAATATTTGTTTTGTTCATTTATTTTTGGTTTTAATAGTATTTATTATTTTGTTTGTAAAAGAAAAGTGCAAAGAAGAAAATAAATCACCAGATGAATCACCCTCAATCTCACCTCACAATATACTATTGGCATTTTGGTTTACAGTTGTCAGCCTTACCTTAGTATGTATATGTGTGTTTATATAATTTTTAACAGACTTAAAATAATCTGTATGTTTTACTTTTTTTGTACTTCATAATTGTCCATACTTTCCCTTGTCATTATGTCTTCTAAAACATACTTTCTAATAGCCACCTAATATTTCATTATGAATGACAAGTTATTTGATCAATTCACTGTAGTTGGAAGATTAGTTGCTTTCTATTGTTTGCTCCAAATTATTAATTTTGTAATTTTGCCTATTGTTTCTGGAGAACTATAGATAATGTGATTACGGAGAATGGTAGTAACTGATGTGTCCCTGAGGTTCACTGGGAAATTGGAGATGAACTTGTTTTCTCTCTTCCTTCTGTATTAATAAGTATGTGGAGTTAGTTAATGACATAATAGCTTATTTGATTATTTATATAGTGCTGTATTGTTTGCAAAGTGCTTTTTACAGACACTATCTAATTGAATCTTCATGATAACTGTAAAGAGTAGGTAATTTCCCCCTCACTTGATAGATGAGGAAATTGAGGCTCACAGATAGGAAGTGACTTTCCCAGCTCTAAGTGATAGATCAGGAACCCAAATCCAGGTCTTTTTTTTTTTTTTTTTTTTTTTGAGATGGAGTCTCGCTCTGTCGCCCAGGCTGGAGTGCAGTGGTTCAATCTTGGCTCACTGTAACCTCCACCTCCCGGGTGGGTTTGAGTGATTCTCGTGCCTCCGCCTCCCGAGTAGCTGGGATTACAGGCGCCACCACCGCACATGACTAATTTTCGTATTTTTAATAGAGACGGGGTCTCACCATGTTGGCCAGGCTGGTCTCAAACTCCTGACCTCAGGTGATCCACCCATCTCAGCCTCCCAAAGTGATGGGATTACAGGTGTGAGCCACCGCGCCAGGCCAGGCCTTTCTAATATACAGACTTGATTTTATTTGCTAATATTTAGCCAAATAAAGGTCTGAATTTGGACAGTTTTTCTGTATTCTCTGGCTTAATGATAGTCCTTGTCCCAAAAAGGGACCCTTGATTCTACACCAGGTCAGTGTTTTCCCTTTCTCTCATGCACCCTTTCTCTTCACTCACTGTTGATTCTACACCAGGTCAGTGTTTTCCCTTTCTCCCATGCACTCTTTCTCTTTACTAACTGGCCAGGAGAGCTTGATCTTTTTGGCAGTCCTCAATATTGCCTTTAAAACTCAGGGATTCTATTTAAGGCACTGCAAATATGGCCTTGGTCAAATTGTGTTATTACCCAGACTTTAGTTTCCTCACACGAAAAATGGGGAAGGTGATAATGCTTATTCCTCAAGGTTGCTGGAAGAGCAAAGAGATAATGCAAATAAAGCTAGTTTAAGCAGAAATTGGAAGTTTATAATAAAGGGAGTGTTTCATGGAACTAAAGGAAGAAATAGAACTAGGAACTAGAACCATAGAGAACCAAGGCAGTTCTTTATCTCTGTCTCTCTAGTGCTTGCTACACATCTGTGTTGTGTTCTCTTTCTGTTCTCTAGCCCACCTTGCAAATAGTAGTCACATCCAGCTTCCCGGTTTACATGATTCAAATTTAGCCTCAAAGACAGCATCTATCCCACCTCCAGATTCCCGGAGAAGGAACTCTAGTTGGCCCAGTGTGAGTTAGGCATCCTCCCTTGGATCAATCAACTATGATCAGGAGGGTGGTATCATGTTGTACATACAGACTGCCAAGAGCTCACCCACCCTCTTAGATAGTTTGGAGGAATGGGTGGTAGTCACTTAAGTGGGTACTTTTATATGACTGCAGGCATGACAGTCTTCGGGAATGGCAACGATTGAGTATGTGATCACCTTGTTGCTATTCCCTACTTTGTCTGCATCTTAATTGATCTTTCTAGGGGCCCAGCTGTGACCTGTTTTATCCAGTCTATAAAATGCTCCAGCCAGTTTTTGTGGGCTGTAGGTACCTTGTATAAGGCTTGCTCTGATGGCAGGGTGGGGTCAAATAGGTGCAGCTTCCAAGATGACCAACAAGAGTAAGAGTAGACTTTAAAGATGTCAGGCTTTAGGTGCGACAGTGTTCTTCCTCTGGTTTCCAGGGACCCAACACTCCAAGTCACTAATATTTCCCTTCTGTCTGCTCAGGGAGATGGTACTGGAGTCGCCAGTATTTACCGGGGGCCATTTGCAGATGAAAATTTTAAACTTAGACACTCAGCTCCAGGCCTGCTTTCCATGGTAAGTGAGGTCCAATCAAGGTTTTGCGTTACAGCCAGCTGGTTTCTGGGCCCCTCTTGAGGCCCAATGCTGTGTTTTGGCATGATGAAAGCAAATGCTTTCTTTCTCTTGCTTGCCCCAGGACTCACCTTTACCACCTCTTCTCTCAGTCTGGTCTGATTGAGAAAACCGGTAGGTACATGGTGGATTACAGGTGTGAGCCTGTATCACGCCTGTAATCCTAGCACTTTGGGAGGCTGAGGCGGGTGGATAACCTGAGGTCAGGAGTTCGAGACCAGCCTGGCCAACATGGTGAAACCCATCTCTACTAAAAATACAAAAAATTAGCCAGGTGTGGTGGTGGGTGCCTGTAATCCCAGCTACTCGGGAGGCTGAGGCAGGAGAATCGCTTGAACCCAGGAAGGGGAGATTGCAATGAGCCAATATCGCGCCACTGCACTCCAGCCTGGGCAACAAGAGCGAAACTCCGTCTTAAAAAAAAGAAAAGAAAGAAAAGAAAACCAGTAGGTAAGACCCTCTAGCAGGCTAGCAGGCTGGGGAACTAAAATATGAACCAGGGTTTGTGTCTAGGCATTCAGCCCTACTGCTCAGAATGTAAAAAGCTGTGCTTTCAAGACATATTCATAGCTGGGCCTGGTGGCTCACACCTGTAATCCCAGCACTTTGGGAGGCCAAGGCAAGAGGATTGCTTGAGGTTGAGGTCAGGAGTTTGAAACCAGTATGGGTAACACAGTGAAACTTAAGTCTCTACTAAAAAAACAAAAAAAAAATTAGCCAGGTATGGTGACACACACCTGGAGTCCCACCTACTAGGGAGGCTGAGGTGGGAGGATTGCTTGAGCCCAGGAATTTGAGTCCGCAGTGAGCCATATCCTGTTCATCTCTGTATCCTTGGATCCTAGCTTAGGCCCTGGCTCATAATAGGTGCTAAGTTAGATTTACTGAAAAAAAACATGGAGGGATTAGGGTTACACACTCTTTTGGGAATCTTACCCATCAGGTAACATGGCCAAGGAAACTTACTGCAGGTATATTTGGTTTCCATCAGGCAAATAGTGGTCCGAGTACAAATGGCTGTCAGTTCTTTATCACCTGCTCTAAGTGCGATTGGCTGGATGGGAAGCATGTGGTGTTTGGTAAGTCCTACTCATGTCCCATGGTCCAGGCCCCATTCACCGCGGATGGAACCTCCAGAGGAGTTAGTTCTCAGACTCTTACCAAGAATGCTCAACTTGGATAACTGCTTAGGTGGTAACAGAGAAAACAGAAATGGTGGGGAGGTGGGGTGGGGAACATGTTTGGCTAGAGAACTAGAGGGAAGGACAAAAGGGCCATTTGATATAGTATGGAACCACTCAGGGGGAAAACCCAGTAGCTAGCACCAAAGAAATGCCATACAGGCAGCATGATATGGTGAGACTTTGCAGTCACTCGGATATAAGTGTGAGCCCTAACTCTACTTATTACCTATGACCTTGAGCAAGTCATTTCACCTCTACCGCATCTTAATTTCCTAAAGTTAGTAAGAGAATCTAATGACATAATAGCTAAGAATGGGCTTTGGAAGCTGGAAAACGCTATGTAAACAAGAATAAAGTCCAGCTCACACTCTTCCTACAGGAAAAATCATCGATGGACTTCTAGTGATGAGAAAGATTGAGGTAAGTACTGCTTTGATTTTTCTCTTTCTCTCCCATTCTGGTCTGGTACTGTCTGACTAGCGTCCAGGAGCTAGAGAAGGGGGAATGAGCTCCAGTTTGTTAGGCCCAGTCTTCATTGCTTCAGGAAAAGGGAGGAGAGACCACCTAAGTTAGCCTGTCTGGTCAACACTGAGGTTTGGCCCCTGACGACCCTGTTGCCTACTTGATAAAATTCTACTCCTCAGCATTGCATTCAAGGTCCTTCATGATTAGTCCTTGTCTACTTCTTCATGGCCCCTTCTCCTGCCACTGCCTCTTTCATGTTCCAGTCACATCAGGCTACTAGCTCTTCCCTAAATCTGCCATACACATCCCTGCCCCTTGCTCTTTCCTGCTCCTGAGCCTTTGTTCACACTGTTTCCTGTAGCTGGAATGCTCTTCTTTCCTTCCCTCCTGGTGGAATCCCATTCATCCTTCTAGGCACAGTTCAAATAACCCTCTTTTGTGAATCCTTCCCTGACCTCTTTAAGCAGCAATTTAGTTACCCGTCTACCCCTTATCCAACTCTCTCATAACTTTTTGTAATATTATCATAGGTTTGATGTTTTCTAAGTGTTTTGCATTTTCTCTTTGATACCTGTCTGCCAGGACATGGATAGTTTCTGAGTGCTGAGTCCTTAGCACAGGGGCTGGCAGGCATCAGTAAAAGTTTGATAAGGGAATGAGGAAGTGCCTGAGTGGATGAAGTCCATTGTGCTTTTTTTCCTAGAATGTTCCCACAGGCCCCAACAATAAGCCCAAGCTGCCTGTGGTGATCTCACAGTGTGGGGAGATGTAGTCCAAAGACTGAATCAGGTAAGTGTGTCTTTCTGCTATTAGGTTAGGAGTCAGACCTCAAAGAAGACAGCATGGTCTAGTGGAAAGATCTTTAGTCTTGAAGACATGAGATTGAGCCCAGTTCCTCTGTGTGTGACCTTAGAGTAGTCACTTTCCTTCTCCGAGCATGTGTCCTCATCTGTCAAATGGAAATACTGTAATACCTATCTCTCAGAGTCACTGTAAAAATCAAAAGAGAAAGGGTTGTAGGAGCACTGTACTTTTCTATCACTTTGTAATGTACAAAGTATCAATCTGAAAACTACTCAGGCAGTTTGTAACAGCACTTTCAGACTACAGTTCCATTCAGTAGTCCCCCTAGAAAGACCTGGCTCCAGGCCTGAGTAACTCTCTGCTGGGACCAGGCCAAGGAGCCAGGAGACACGCCTGTCATGCACCTCATCAGAACTGATACTGCAATTCCAGGCCTTGACTTCGTATTTGCCGGCCTTGCAGGTGAATGCCTTGCATCTTCCAGCCTACATGGACTCATTTCTTACCCGTATTTGCCACTGCCTGCTCTGTGTTGGGCAGCGTGCTCGCTGCAGAGAGCGGGGCAAAGAATTGAAAGGTGTCTCCTTTCAGGAGCTCATGGGAAGTAAGACATTCTCAGAGGTCATCACTAGTAATATGAGTGACACTGCCAAGTGTGAGAAGAGTACAAGGGGGAAATCCATCACTTCCAGCCAGGTGAGGGGTAGTAATGTTTTTCTTTTTTTTAATTTCAAACCTGCAAAAAAGTTAGAAGAATACCTTGAACACCCATATATCTTCACTTAGATTCACCAGTGATTAACATTCTTGTTTTATTTCTTTGCCTTGACATTTGTTTTTTTCTTTCCCTTCTTGCCTCCTCATCCATTTCCGTTGCCTCTCCTCCTCCATTTCCGTTGCCTCTCCTCCTCCCTCCTGCTCCTCTTCCCTCCCTCCATCCTTCCCTTCCTATTTTTCATCCTTCCTTCCCATCTTCCTTCCTTTACCCTTTCTTCTTTTCTTTCCCATTTGAAAGTTGCAGACTTCTTGACACTTTACCCCTAAGTATTTCAGCGAGGAACTCCTAAAAATAAGAATATCCTATGTAACCACAATATTATCTAACATATAGTACATTTTCAAACCTCCCCAGTTGTCCCAAAAGTAACTTTTGTAGCTTAAAAAAAGGTGATCCAATCAAGCTTCCCATATTTCATTTCATTTGGTTTACACAAGTAACATATTACACTCTCATTGTGAAAACTTTCACACCAAACAGATAAAGTGAAAGCCCCTCTTGACAACACCCACCCCCAATTCCACTCCTCTTTCCAGAGGTCACTTCCTTATCAGTTTGATGTGTGTCCATCAGGGCCTTTGCCTTGCCCATGTAATTTTGGGAGGTTTTCTTTTTCCCAAATGAAATCATACTATATTTTAAATGTTCTAGGAAATTATGTCTTGAAAACTTTTCCTTCTTAGTTCATGTAAAACCACCTTGTATTAAAAAATGAAAACAGCCCAGCACGGTGGCGCACTCCTGTAATCCCAGCACTTTGGGAGGCCAAGGAGGGCAGATAGCTGGAGCTCAGGAGTTCGAGACCAGCCTGGGCAACTTGGTGAGATCCTGTCTTTCCAAAAAAAAAAATTATCCAGGTGTGGTAGTGCAAGCCTGTAGTCCTAGCTACTCAGGAGGCTGAGGTGGGAGGATTACTTGAGCCCAGGAGTTTGAGGCTGCAGTCAGCTATGATGGCGCGCCACTGTACTCCAGCCTGGGTGACAGAGTGAGACGCCATCTCAAAAAAAAGAGAAAGAAAAAGAAAAACCAAAACTGCAGTGCAGCCTGAGCATCCCTAATCCGAAATCCCAAATGCTCCAAAATATGAAACTTTTTGAGCACTAACATGACATTAGAAGTGGAAAATTCCACACCTGACCTCATGTGATGGATCATAGTCAAAAATTTGTTTCATGCACAAAAGTATTTAAAATATTGTACAAGATTACCTTATACAATAGCTATAAGTAGCTAGGACTACAGGTGCGTGCCACCATGCCCAGCTAATTTTTATATTTCTTGGTAGAGATGGGGTTTCACCATGTTGGCCAGGCTGGTCCAGAACTCCTGACCTCAAGTGGTCTGCCCACCTCGGCCTCCTAAGGTGCTAGGATTACAGGCGTGAACCACTGCCCCCAGCTGAGCATTAGTTCTTAATTTTATATGTTGTAATTGTTTTCTTCAGAATATATTTTAAGAAAAAAATTAGTATTATGTTGCTTAAGTTTGGTGATATTCTTTGTTAAAGAGAAGTTCTAAATTTTGATGAAGTCCAAATTATCAGTCTTTCACTGCTTTTTGGTTTTGTCTGATTTAAGACGGTCTTTACTACCTCAGATCACAATGTTTTCTGTGTTTTTTTCTAGTATTTATTTTTATATGGTGGAACTAAGATCATTTTTCTAGTATTTTTATAGTCTTATTTGTATATTTATAAAATCATCTTATAATTAATTTTTCTGTATAGTGTTAAGATAGGACTTTTTCTTCTTTTTTTTTCCAAATGGAGATCTAGTCAAATACTTGACCATTTTAATGACTCTACAACACACCTTTATCTGTGACCAACTCTGTTCAGAATATCTGGCACTTACAGGCATTCAGTAAAAATTTATTACATGAGTTAAGTAGAGAGGGAGAATGTCAGGCATTTTAGGCGGGGAACTGGTGTGAGCAAATGCTGAGGCTGGAATGCACAAGTGTGTGCTGAGAGCTGCATGTAGACCTCTCTTGTTCAGCCAGATGATCCCTTCTCAGGCTCACTTGACACCCTGAGCTTTCCTTTCTGCCAATACTGGGTGCCCCTTGGGCCCAGCCTGCTCTCCCTCTTCAATGGCTGCTGGCCATTCCCTCCCTCTCCTGCTCATTTCTTTGCTATAACTAAAGTTGAGTTCATAGGTCCTTTCTTTCCAAAGACTGACCACTGATCACTACCAGAGGACAGACGATAACAAAAAGAATAAAGTTTAGAAATTCTTTATGTTGGGGCCTCTTTTCTGTATCTGTCTGAGTCTTTTACATAGAGTTACTGGAAGTCCTTGTTGTGGTTTTATTTCTGAGGGTGGGGATCATCAACCCTCCCCCCATCCCCCACTGTTAGCAAAAGTTATATGAACTTTTGCCTTTAAGAAAGCCCTTCTTCTCAGCCTGCAACCCAAGCAGAATGCATTCCTCAGGTGGCCGTTGTACATTCCACAGGCCCTCTAGACCAGGACTGTTCATAGCCTGTGATGATGGAAAGGTTCTAGATCTGGGAGGTCCAGTATGGTTGCTACCATCCCCATGTGACAACGGAGCACTTGAAATGTGGCTGGTGCAACTGAGGGACTACACCATTAACTTTTTATTTTTTTATTTTTTATTTTTATTTATTTATTTTTGTTTTTTTGAGATGGAGTCTTGCTCTGTCGCCCAGGCTGTAGTGCAATGGCACCATCCTGGCTCACTGCAACCTCTACCTCCCGGGTTCAAGCAATTCTCCTGCCTCAGCCTCCTGAGTAGCTGGGATTACAGGTGCACACTGCCATGCCCGGCTATTTTTTGTATTTTTAGTAAAGATGGGGTTTCACCCTATTAGCCATGCTGGTCTTGAACTCCTGAGCTCAGGTAATCCGCCCATCTTGGCCTCCCAGCCTATTTTTTTTTTTATTGACAGAACTAGGCTGTAATTTATTAAATTTAAATTAGGCTGGATGTGGTGGCTCACACCTATAATCCCAGCACTTTGGAAGGCCGAGGCGGATGGATTGCTTGAGGCCAGGAGTTTGAGACCAGCCTCACCGACATGGTAAAACCTGTCTCTACTAAAAATACAAAAATTAGCCAGGCATGGTGACGCACGCCTGTAGCCCCAGCTACTCCAGAGGCAAAGGTACGAGAATCTCTTGAACCCGAGAGGCAGAGGTTGCAGTAAGCCAAGATTGTGCAACTGCACTCTAGCCTGGGCAACAGAGCAAGACCCTGTCTCAAAAATAAATAAGTAAAAAATAATAATAATAAATGTAAAGAGTCAATTGTGGCTAGTGGCTACTGTACTGGACAGTGAGCTCTTTTAAACGTAAGCCTCTCAGTCTACTCGCCCTGGCTTGCTCAGAACAGAATCTCATAGCTAATACTTAAGGACACTATAATTAAAACAGTTATCCTTCATTGAATTCTTCCTGTGCCCAGATAATGAGCTAAGAACTTTACTTGAATTATCGCATTTCACTTTACCAAAAATCGCTATCATAGGTTTTAAAGTGTTAGGAAATCTGGGGGCATTCTAATGTAAAGGGGTTCCACAGATGGGTGCCCCATTTTGGGTTTCTGAATAATGTGATTTGGGAAAAATTAATGAAAGAGGAGATGAATTTCCCAGGGAGCAGGGGTCTGGAGGGAAGGGAAGTGGTATTTTTAAGCCCTATTGGGCAGTACTTCTTATACTTTAATGTGCATATGGATCTCCAGGAGATTTGTTATAAAATAGTGGTTCTGACTCAGTGGGTTTGGATAGGAACTGAGATTTTGCATTTCTAATCAGCTCTCAGGTGATGCTGATGCAGACTTTGAGAGGCAAGGCAATGGGGAATAAGAGTCTATCTTTTAATTGAGAACTTGCCATATTCCAAAGAAAAAGACCAAGAGGAAGTAATCTCTTGGTGGCACTAGTCCAGCAGGAATCCATGGCATTCACATCAAGGTATCACTTAATCCTGCATTTGAGGCCTTGTGCCCAGGCACTGGGCATATGCAGTGAAACAGCTAGGAAGGAGATAGAAGACAGGTCATTTGATCAATTCTACCTCCCTATGGAGCACTTCTTTCCAGAACCTTTGTGTTTTGCCTTCCTAGGTTCTGACTTTGGTTTTAGTGAAAATGAAGTTTTGTGTAAAACTTTTTTTTTGTTTTTTTTAAGACAGAACCTCACTCTGTCGACCAGGCTGGAGTGCAGTGACACAGTCTCGGCTCACTGCAACCTCTGCCTCCCAGGTTCAAACGATTCTCATGCCTCAGCCTCCCGAATAGCTGGGATCACAGGCATGCACCACCATGCCTGGCTAATTTTTTTTGTGTTTTAGTAGAGACAGGGTTTCACCATGTTAGCCAGGTTCGTCTCAAACTCCTGACCTCATGTGATCTGCCTGCCTTTGACTTCCCAAAGTGCTGGGATTATAGGCAGGAGCCACCATGCCTGGTCTGTACAACTTTAGGTACAGACACCTTGGTTTTATCTCAGTGAGTTCTGGGAGATTTTTTTTTTTTTTTTTTTTAGACAGGGTCTTACTCTGTCACCCAGGCTGGAGTGCAGTGGCACAGTCACAGCTCACTGCAGCCTCGACCTCCCTGGCTCAAGTGATCCTCCCACCTCAGCCTCCTTAGTAGCTTGGATTATAGGCGTGCACCACTACACCCAGCTAACTTTTTAGAGATGGGGTCTCACCATGTTGTCCAGGCTGGTCTCAAACTCCTGGCCTCAAGCGATCTTCCCACCTCAGCCTCCGAAAATGTTGGAATTACAGGCATGAACCACCGTGCCCAGCCCTTGGAAAACTTTTTATAATGAATTTGGATATGTGTAGCATAAATGAACCTCTACCCTCAGGATTCTCCTACTGTAGTCGGAATGGGTTCTTTGCTACTTACATATACATGGGAGAGGGTGGCACCTCTCTTTTGAAAGCCTAAGTTCTGGCAACTCTGCTAGTCTGATATGCTACCCCCCTTCCCTGTGATCCTCAAACCTGGTACCAGTACCAAGTGGTGGAGAGCTTTCATTAATTCATTGTTGCCTAGATTCTCCAACAGATAATAATCATTTTGGGGCACTTGTTAAACCTACGAATTCCCAGATCCCTTCCCTGGAGTGTTTGATGTGGCTTTGGGGTGGGACTCAGGATGTTATATTTGTACCAAGTATCTCACGTGCTTCTTAATAGAGGAGTGTGGGAAACACTACTTTAGTTAGTGCTGGGATGACTGTCTTTTAATATTTGGATCTTAGGAAAAAATATAGAATTAGCACAATACATAATTTTACAGTTATTACAGCTTACAGTAAGGCAATATTGAAGTTCGAATAGTGATTAGCTTAAAAAGTAAATTGTACCTGTGGATGATAGATACTGTAACAGTTGTGAAGGTGCTATCTGAATGACTAAGGTTTAGAAACACCGTCTTTCATTCTGGAATTACCTGTAGATGCGAGATTCCCGGGGGGAAGATGAGGGAAGATGTGTTGGTAGCAGTTGGGCTCTATTCATTGCACAACTAAGCGCTGATGAATTAAGATCGGTCCCATGCTGCATACGAAGCTACAGATTTGAAAAGTCCAGTTCCTTCCTTCAAGGAACTCAGTCTCTTGGGAGAACTGACAATTGCAGTACAATAAAGCCCTGTATTGGAGGTTTTAGATACATGCCCGGATCTTGCCGGAGTGGTTGGGTAGACTACAGAAGAGATGATGCTCCAGTTTAGTAAAGAAGGAATATAACTTGTCAGGTGGCTAAAACTGGGCAGGGCATTCCAGGCAGAGGGAACAGCCTATGCAAAGTCACAAAGGCAGCAAACAGCAGGAAGTGTAGAGGAAGCTGCAAATAATTCAATATGACTGAAGCAGGAAAATATGAAAAGCAAACGGTAAGAAGGTTGGAGAGAGGCCAGGGCCAGTAGTGAAAGCTAGTGCCAAGCTTAGCAGTTCGTATGTTATTCTGAGGGCAGGGGCTGACTTTCAGGCATGAAGTAATTTTTCCCCTCTGGGGAAGGAGTCCATTGTGTTCCTGAGATTCTCAAAAGGGGCACTGACCCTCCAAAAAAGAATCAGACCAATATGAACCACTGAAGGATTTTCAGCAGAATATTGTAGTTGAATTTTCATGTTCAGAAGAAGATTCTGGCAGCATTGTGGAGGATAGGCTGGAGGCCAGTGAGGAGTCCACTGCCGTAGTAGTCCAGGCAAGAGAAAAGAGATTTTACATGAAAATATGGGTCTGGGGAGCACTGGAGATTTGGCAGCAAATGTTTATGTGCCTGCTGAGCATGTGACACTGTTTGTTCCCTGTCCTGAAACGCAGAAGCTCTGCCAGCTGAAAAGGCCAGGGGAGGGGAGAATGTCTGGCTCCAGTCCATTCCAGTCCAGTACAAAGGCAAAGCTTCTTGCATTGCAGCCAAGTCTTACACACATAGAGTTTCCATTCTCTTCAATGGAATACTATACAGCCTTAATAAAAACAAAGAGGTAGATTTGGATGTGTTGGCAAGATTTCTAAGGTAAGTTAAGTGACAGTCAAGATGTAGTAATTTATGTAAGCATGTTACTGTTTATTTTAAATGATTTTCAGGAATCTCTGCAGTGATATAAAGCAGACTGTTGATAATATTTCTGCAGAGTAGAGATAGCAAAGAGACTTTTCAGTTGCCTTATTTAAGCTTGAATTTTCTACCTCGAACATGTGTCTTGTAATAGAAATACATACTGTGTATATGTAGTTTTAACTAATCCTAAATCCTCCCAGCACCTCCCAGGAGCCTGCCCACAGCTGTGGCTAACATCAGTTGTGAATCCGTCGCTGATCCCTCCACCTCCTCTTCCAGGTCTAAGCCCAGACAGTGGTTCCCACCTGGGTGCTCCCGCAGCACTTGGTTCATCTCTCCACTGTGGCATTTAACACACTGTATCACAAATGTGTCGGTCTGTTTTTCCCTGGACTGAGATCATGCTGACTAACATAGTGCTTGGTCTGACAGAGCTTAGGTCTTGGCACACCATGCAGCTTACAAAGTACATTTATGCATTTTCATACATTTTGCTTGAGGGCCCACAATTAAACTTCAGTCTGTGCCTACAGTATGATCGATGCCAGCACTCATTGTCCACTGGAGCAAGGTGTGGCATGTCTGAGGAATGGCAGGAGGAGGGGGACAATAGTATCTGAGTGTACTTACCCTGTTCTCTTAGTATAGCTTGCTCGACTTCAAGGCTATAAACCGAGAATGTGGACTGCCCTTTCTCTTACCTCTGGGACCGAAACCTGCAAGGAAGAAGGATTACTTTTTGTTCTGGACCTCCACAGAGAGCCATCAGAGTCTGACAAAAAGAACAAAGGCTTTGGAGCCAAGTAGACCAGGAAGCCCCACCACTGTCTAATTCTGTGACTTTAGTCAAGCCGTGAAACCCCTTGGGACCCTACTCCTTTGCATAATTAGATAATATATAATGCATGGAGTTGTGAAGGGCAAATAAATGAGACAGTATGCTTGACCATAAATGTTAGTTGCTTTCTTCCTGGTTCTTTTGTAATTTACTGCCCAACTTTGCTCTGGGGACCCAAAGGTCTGACGTATGGTGAGACTCTGACCTGTTCTACCCTTTTGGGAAAAGAGGATTGGGAGTGCAGAGAATAGCTGGGAGTGGCCGGGCACGGTGGCTCATGCCTGTAATCCCAGCACTTTGGGAAGCCAAGGCAGGCAGATCACAAGGTCGAGAGTTCAAGACCAGCTTGGTCAATATGGTGAGACCCCCGTCTCTACTAAAAATACAAAAATTGACTGGGTGTGTGGGTGTGGTGGCGTGTGCCTGTAGTCCCAGCTACTCGGGAGGCTGAGGTAGGAGAATTGCTTGAACCTGGGAGGCAGAGGTTGCAGTGAGCTGAGATCGTGCCACTGCACTCCAGCCTGAGCAACAGAAAGGGACTCTGTCTCAAAAAAAAAAAAGGAACAGCTGGGAGCATTGTCTCATATGGGATGTCCCCTTCCAGTTGCTCTGAGGTGCTTACCTCCCCATCCCACATTGACCTCCATGTCTGCCATTGTAGGCCTTCCCTTCTTCTTGGTGGTGGTCTTGAGTAAGATAATCTGGAGTGGCCCTCGTGTTTGCTTCCCTGCCTGCTGCTGCCCCATTTGATCAAGAGACCATGGAAGTGTCAGAGATTCAGAATCCAAGATTGTCTTTAAGTTTTCAACTGTAAATAAAATTTTTTTGTATTTTTTTTCTTTTGGTTTTGTTTGTGTGTTGTTTTTAAATAGTTGTAATAGCCCTGTCTCCTCACACCTCAGCTTCAGCTAGGAGGACTGGCACTCCTCAGAGGCCAGCATGGACCAGTGCCAAGCTTTTGCTGTGTATAGTTGATGCCTCTGAATTGCAGGCAGTCGTAGCAAACCTAACTCTCGTAGGTTAAAGCTGATGGACAAAGAAGGCACAGCCCTAGGACTTTACAGCTCTACTTATTCCAAGGATGTTCCCAGCAGGATCAATTTGGTTAGTTCTGGATGGAGCCCGTGGGGAAAGGGTCACTAACTTGACCTATCTACTTACTTCAGAGCATCCTTGAAAGAGTCAAATAAGAGAGTGGATATGAAGGTAATTTGTAAGAAACAGCAACAATACCTTAGAAAATGTTAGTTTTGGGACCAGGTGCCATGGCTCACACCTGTAATCCCAGCACTTTGGGAGGCCAAGGTGGGCGGATCACTTGAGGCCAGGAGTTCAAGACCAGCCTGGCCAAGATGGTGAAACCCCATCCCTACTAAAAATAAAAAAATTATCTGGGCTTGGGGCACGTATCTGCAATCCCAGCTACTCTGGTGGCTGAGGCACAAGAATCGCTTGAACCGAGGAGGCGGAGGTTGCAGTGAGCCGAGATCACATCACTGCACTTCAGCCTAGGTGACAGAGTGAGACTGTCTCAAAAAAAGAAAATGTTAGTTTTGAAAGGAAACAGCTCAACATATAAAGATCCCACTGAGGCGGGTGCTGTAGCTCCTGTCTATAATCCCAACTACTCAGAAGCCTGAGGGGGGAGGATCACTTCCGTGCGCAGAAGTTCAAGACCTGCCTGGGCAACGTACCAAGACCCCGTCTCTACAAAACAAACAAAACTTAGCTGAGTGTGGTGGCACATACCTGTAGTCCTAACTGCTCAGGAGGCTGAGGCAGGAGGATCCTTGAGGCTAGGAGTTTGACGTTGCAGTGAGCTATGATCGTGCCACTGCACTCCAGCCTGGGTGACAGAGTGAGACTCCATCTATTTTGAAGAGGCAAAGAAGAAAGTTCCCTGATGTTTCTTTCATGAGGCACTTTCTGTTTGCTCTCATTCTTTCTTGCTTTCTTCTGTCTTGTGGATGGGGATGCCTCTTAACTACTGGCAGCAAGATACTGCAGGAGCAAGGTAGCAAACAGCTGAATTCTATGACAATAGAACTTGGTTAAAAGTGTTGTTTCAGTGTGTCAGATGACAAGGGAGATGGTGATAAGGGCCCTACAGTATAGACACTTGCAACTCTCTAGCCAAGGAAACATACTTCAGAGGACATTGTAGAGAAAGGACTCATCTAGTGGAGGAGAAATTTTTAAGTAACTATATAGGGTGGGATTGTAAAGAGATGGGAAGGAGGATGAACAGCTGTGATCCAGAGCTCACATTCTTGTGATGGGCTGTTCAGCTGCACTCTGTTACATCTGGCACCTACATTCTATGCCAGTCTCTGTCCTAGGCCCTGGAGCTGAGTAAGTTGTGGCTCATACTTGTGATAGGAGACAGGGACAGTTTCAATGCAAGGTGGTATTAGAATGTGAGCCCGTATGAGGGCAGGGCATGACATTTGGTTTTTTTTTTTTTTTTTTTTTTTTTTTTGAGACAGAATCTCACTCTGTCGCTCAGGCTGGAGTGCAGTGGCACGATCTTGGCTCACTGCAACCTCTGCTTCCCGGGTTCAAGCAATTCTCCTGCCTCAGCCTCCCAAGTAGCTGGGACTACAGGCACATGTCACCACACCCGGCTAATTTTTTGTATTTTTAGTAGAGACGGGATTTCACTGTGTTAGCCAGGATGGTCTCGATATCCTGACCTCATGATCCACCCGCCTCGGCCTCCCAAAGTGTTGGGATTACAGGCGTGAGCCACCGTGCCCAGCCGATCTTTTTCTTGTTTTGCTTTGTGTTTTTGAGACGGAGTCTCGCTCTGTTGCCCAGGCTAGAGTGCAGTGGCGCGATCTCAGCTCACTGCTAGCTCCGCCTCCCGGGTTCACGCCATTCTCCTGCCTCGGCCTCCCGAGTGGCTGGGACTACAGGCGCCCGCCACCTCGCCCGGCTAGTTTTTTGTATTTTTAGTAGAGACAGGGTTTCACCGTGTTAGCCAGGATGGTCTCAATCTCCTGACCTCATGATCTGCCCGCCTCGGCCTCCCAAAGTGCTGGGATTACAGGCGTGAGCCACCGCGCCCAGCCTGTTTTGTTTTTAACTGCTGTGTCCCCAATACCTGGAAGTGAACTTCTGGAATCTAATAGATGCTGAATAAATATTTGTTGCATGAATGATAGTGGTATGAGAGGAAGAGGGGAAAAAAGGGGGAAAAAGGCTTCTTGGAAGAGGTGACGTTTGAGGTAAGTAGTGACAGGCTTTAATTTGCCAGATCAACAAGGTGGCAGGTGCTTTCTAGGAAGAGGGAACTATGTTCTTAGGCCACAGTCTGTTAGAGATGGGGGACAAGGTAAAAGTTATTTTGCAGAGATTCTTGGGATGAATCCCTTGCCCATCACATCACTTAAAGGCAGGCCCTGGAGTTGTCTGTACCGTGGTCACCACGGATACCTGGGTGGTGTGAGCTCCCAGGATAGCAGGGAGACCAGCAAAGCTCTGGAATGGCGCTCTCCTACTTTGGAACAGGAAATGAAATTTGTCATGAATTGTTGATGCTTGTAGAGAGGTGGCTACAAGAAAATTATTTTTTGAGACATAGTTTCACTCCGTCACCCAGGCTGGAGTGCAGTGGCACAATCCCAGCTCACTGCAACCTCCACCTCCCAGGTTCAAGCGATTCTCCCTCCTCAAACTCCTGAGTAGCTGGGATTACAGGCACATGCCACCATGCCCAGATCATTTTTGTATTTTTAGCAGAGATGGAGTTTTGCCATGTTGGCCGGGCTGGTCTCAAACTCCTGACTTCAAGTGATCCACCTGCCTCAGCCTCCCAAAGTGCTGAGGCATGAGCCACCATGCCTGGCTGCAAACTACTTTCTGAAACAGCTCATCCTTAGGCTCACTGAGCCCGAAGAGAGCTGAATGAAGTAACTGGATGAGTAAGTAATGATACTTTTTAAAGTAACATTGAAAAGACAGATGTTACACAATTTGTGTTTTTGCTTGAGAAGCCATCCCTTCAAAGCAGTTCCATAGTGAGATTGTTCATTTATTCGTAGAGGTGCTGCTGCAATATTTTCTAAGTGTCTTTGTAACTAGAGAAAAGCTCTCAAGCCTATAGGGCATGCTTTTAAATGTCCTCAGTGTTGGCAAAACTGCCTTTTGAGGAAATATTTTAACATTCAAAAGTCATCTGGAGCTGGAACACATGAACAGAGGCTGTGGAATCCACCCCCTCTCCGTACACATTGCTGCTGAAAGTCTTTTTCACCTGGATTACTGGCACAGCTGCCCAGATTACCTTTCTGTTGCCAGTACTTTTTTCAATTCATTTTCTACACCATGTCGCTCATTTAACAAATCTTTTAAGGTATTATGTGTCAGGAACTAAGATGCCCAAGGAAGTCACAGTCTGGTGGGGAACATTTAATTAGAGCAATACAGTGTGTTAGGATGGGAGGGATTCTTAACCTAGTAGCATCTGAGCGAAGACCTAGAGGATGAATTAAGCAGGCAAAGAGGAAGGAGGAAAGGAAGGGTGTTATATGCAGAATTTTATGTGATACTCCAAAGGAAACAGTGGCTAAAGGACTCCACTAGATGAGTCCTTTCTCTACAGTGCCCTCTGAAGCGTGTTTACTTGGCTAGAGAGTTGCAAGTGTCTATTCTGTAGGGCCTTGTAATATTTCACCATCTCCCTTGTCATCTGATACACTGAAGCAACACTTTTAACCAAGTTCTATTGTCACAGAATTCAGCTGTTTGCTACCTCTGCTCCTGCAGTATCCTGCAGCCAGTAGTTACAAGCACCTGGAAGGTTGGACAGGGAATACAAGAGAAGACTCTAAGACTTCTTAGAAATCATAGAGTCCAGTAAACCACATTAAGGAATCTGGACTACTCTAAGGGTAATGGTAGTCACTGGAAGATTTTAAGTAAGACAGTGTCATGATCAGATAGATGTTCTCAAAAGAACTTTCTGGCTGTTGTGGTGAGGAATATTAGAGTAAGACAGAGGTAGAGAAGTGTGGTTAGTAGCCAACAGCAGTGCTCTATACTAGGGATCAGCCAACTACACTCCGTTTTTCTGTGGCTCATGAGCTAAGAATACGAATGGTTTTTAAAATGTTGAAAATATGTAAAGATTCGTGTCATGTAAAAATTAGGGCTGTTTTCAAGCTCCAAACCTGAGTAGTAAGTCAGAACCATATTGTCGGCCAAGCTTGTATTATTAACTATTTGGTTCTCACAGAAAAAGTTCCTACCCCTTGCTCTAAGCAATTGGCGATGATGGCCTACACTAGTGGCAGTAGGAATGAAGACTCTGAATTGACATTTAGAGAGTTTAGGACTGACTCAAGAAGGCCTTTAGGAGGTGGAACTGACAGGCCTAGACGGCATTGGTAGGGGTAAGGGATACTGCACTAGCGTCCTAACTGCTTTCTCTACTTCCATTCCTTGCCCCTCTGCAACCCATTCTCCACTCCGCAGCCATTTTTAAAAAGATGCCCCTCCCTACTTACGACTCTAAAATTGCTCTTCTCACTCTTCCCTTCAGGATATATTTCCAATTAAATATACCTAAGTGACTCTGCCCACCTCTGCAACCCAATGTCACATTCGAGTCTTATTCAACTACTTGACTGCATTTCCCGAGATCCCACCTCTTCTCGCCTGTACCCTGTGCGCGGAAAGTCAGCCCTCCACCTTCTCCCTGCTTCCACTCCCAAAATACTTCGTGCTTCTGCAGCTCTGGAGTATTTACCGTGTTGGCTGTTTAAATTTCTGCCTCCATCAGAAGGCAGAAACTGACTCGCGAACTATTCCATCCCCAGCCGATAGTAGACGCTTAAAAAAGAACGAAAGAAGGTGGGTGGAGGACTTCAGTAACATCAGGTGGCAGCCTCAATTTTATCGTTTGTGAAACGTGGATAGTAATTCCTCTATCACATGGCTGTTGTACGAATTAAATGAAAAAAAACATAACACGCTAGCTTGTTCAATAAATGTGAGTTGAATTAAATCTGATTTGTGGCCAGTAGAAAAACACTTAACACTTGAAAAGGAAGACCCATTTTTTAAAATATATGCCTGGTAAAACGGATCAGAAGGCAGGTCCCCACGGAGCACACCCTCGCCCTAAACATGCTGAGCCCGGGCTGCCAGAGCCTGCGTGGTCCCTCCAAGGTGACTGCTCCGACAAAAGCGTACGCTCTTCAAACGCATACGTTTAAGGCAATTCCAGAAACCCTCGGCTGTGCCGCGAGTACACGGCCATTAAAGAAAAGACGACTCTATGCCCGCCGTAATGTTCTCAGATCACAGGGACCGTATTTGGTGCAGGGAGGGAGGGAAGCCTTTTCTTCATGGGGAGCTAAGGCGTCGTCGAGCCCCCTTCCAATCCCGGGTCCGGCCGGGTAATCCCTGCCCAGCGTTCGGGCGTGCCTTTTTTTCAGCCGACACACTACCCTGAACGTGGGGCCCGCCAGCCCGGCGACTGCCTCGTGGAAGTCACGTTCCCTCTGCCCGTCCTCTCAGGTACTCTATGGTTTTCGTGGCCGACTACTCTAATTCTAGTTCCGGTCTCTATGGCGGCCGGCGGAGGCAGGAACGGTTGTAGGTCGGCTGAATTAGCCGCCAGACAGCCAATGAGAGTGGAGGACTGATAAAATGTTAGTCAATAGAAGCCAGGGACTGAGGTCAGGTGGGCAGATTGACAGTACCACCGGCCAGTGAACAACGCCTAGGGCGGGTCGATCGTAGGGCTTATCCCGCCTGTCCCGCCATTCTCGCTAGTTCGATCGGTAGCGGGAGCGGAGAGCGGACCCCAGAGAGCCCTGAGCAGCCCCACCGCCGCCGCCGGCCTAGTTACCATCACACCCCGGGAGGAGCCGCAGCTGCCGCAGCCGGCCCCAGTCACCATCACCGCAACCATGAGCAGCGAGGCCGAGACCCAGCAGCCGCCCGCCGCCCCCCCCGCCGCCCCCGCCCTCAGCGCCGCCGACACCAAGCCCGGCACTACGGGCAGCGGCGCAGGGAGCGGTGGCCCGGGCGGCCTCACATCGGCGGCGCCTGCCGGCGGGGACAAGAAGGTCATCGGTGAGGACCGGACATGGACGGGGGTGGGGCCCTCGGGCAGCCTGGCAGCGGAACCGTTAGCCGGGGCTGGGCGAGCCGGCGGGCGCGCGGCCGGTGGGGACCGACTCCGCGGCGCGCGGCCGCCCCTCCCCCCGCCCCCCCACTCGCTCTTGCGGGGGCCCGCCCGGCAGGCGCGCGCACACTGCCTCCCGCGCCCCCTGTGGACCCCGCGCGGCCGCGCGCCCCTCCTCCTGCGGCCGCGCGCCGCCGACCGCGTGTGCGACGGGGTCCCCTCCCCGCCGACTGGCCTCGTGCGCTCGGGCCCACACGCCGTTGTTCGCGTCTCCCCCACCCAGCTCCCTTCCGCGTGTGCTCGGAGGGCGCGGCGCACCGCCTACGCAGTCCGGAGCGGCTTCCCCTTCCCTCACGTGCTCTCCGTCCGCGGCCTGCGAACACACCCATCCTGGGCCCGCGCCCCAGGCCTGCCCGGGAGCGCCCCGCGCTTCAGACTCACCCACGTGTGCGGCGGCGGCGGCGGCGTGGCCCCGGCGCGGACCCGCACCCGGGCGGTGGAGAGAAAGGGCTGTCAGGTGGCCGCGGCGGGCAGCGTGCGAGGGACCGGATGCCGAAGCCAGACGGGTTTGGAAAAGGATAGCTGGTAATCGTGGCTTGTTTTGCTTTGTTTTCTTTTCCAGCAACGAAGGTTTTGGGAACAGTAAAATGGTTCAATGTAAGGAACGGATATGGTTTCATCAACAGGTGAGCTGCTGGGCTCTGAAGCCTCCATCCTACCTTCTTGCTTGCTTCTTGCTGTGCCAATCCACAGTCCTCTTCTGAAAGGCGTTTACTACCTCTGGTGTATTAATGTGATTTTTTGTTTGTTTGTTTTCCTTGACGACTGGAGGGATTTGGGTTTAGAGAATGCCTTTGTTTTGCAGCTAAATATTAATTTGAAGCTAACTTCAAGGGCTTCGTCACAGCACAAAGCAATTTAAAAGGCAAGCGGAGTGAATGAGCCATTCCTTAACAGGGTAAACGGGAAAGTACGGTCCAGTAGATTTTTATTCTTGTCATCCTTTTCTACTTTATTGAACTCGGTATTTGAGAATGTGATCCACTGACATCGGATATTTACGCCTTGTTAACATTTTGGGGGTAAGAGGATTTGACGTGTCAAGTATATGAGGTTTTGTCATCTTTACCAAGAGGTTGTATTGCCTTTGTTTCACGTTTCATTTTAATACCTGAGATAAATTCTATATTAGCACAGCTTTGACCAGAGAGAACTGTTTTTATTTGTTCATAAATAATATATCTGCAAGAAAATGGTTTTTTTCCTTCAGTTCTTATTTTTCATTCTTCCTTGTCCTAAAATCATGCTGATGAAGTCAATTTCTGCTAGATCCCTGGCTGTAGCTTATTAGAGTGGCCATAGTCACTAGTAACTTGACATTGTTCTTCCTGTTTGAAGGTAAAGCTGCAGATACGTCTTTAGGACTTACCCTTCGGGTTGTTTGTGGCAGTGGTGGTGGTAACGTGCAGTAGACGCACAGTATTCCATGGGCTTCCTTGTGAGCCGGGCATCATTTTCAAGATGGCTGCCAAGGCTAGTAGTGCAGTTACATGGGTGTAGAGCACTGGGTATGCCAGTAGCAATCTTGGCCTCACAGGTATGATACTTAAGTGCCATCTCAGCATTCTCTTGCTTGCTTACTGTAGAAGACCTAAGCTGATGATTAAAAGAACAACGTGGAATGGACAACAAATGGGCAAAATCAAGCTTAAGGACAGAATCATGGCCTGATGAAAAACTGTTCATTAATCAATCATAGAGTATTGTGGAAATACTCAAAGTAAGAGATAAGCATTTGATGATCTATTCTCTACTTTTGCAATTGTGGGAAAACATTTTGTTTCTTCCAGAATCTTAGATTTTCCAACTTGTTCTATACTGTTTGCCTTCCTGGCTGGCTGAAACTACGTTTTTCATTAATTTTTTGATAAAAGCTTACTAGCAAAGAAGAAAGGGAATGCTTATATATGATTGGTAAACTGATAGCTTTTTAATTGATCTGTCTGAATTTATTAGTGTTTTAGTTTGTATTTGTGTCTTACTGATTGTCCTTACTAGTCTAACTCTTAAACCAGTGGTTTTCAAATTTAAGTGTGCTTACCTTGGAAGGGTGTGATTTAAGTGGTGTATTTCTTCTGAGCTTTGGATTCATTAGGTCTGGGTACATTTTTAACAGGAATGATAATGGTCTTCGGGCCATACCTTCAAAATCACTGCTTTTAACCCTTGACCCAATGTAATGGTAACTCTGGTGTGCAACTATGCATCCTTTTCAGCAGATAGATCGCAGTTTTTGTATGTGTTTAAGAAGTTTTATCATGTGCCTTGTTTCGCTGCATTTTTTTTAAAGTGGGCATAGGTTACGACATTTTTTGAAATCAATAGTTTTGTCCAAAATAAGAGTGTTATCTTTACACTTTATAAGTATTTAGTCCATGAGATACTATTCATTGAATATCTCTGTTCTGAATTGGAATCAACTCAATTGGTCATCCTCCAGGGCAAGTTATGAATTGGCTTTTGATGGTCCTTTGGACTATCCTAACCTCGATTATTTTGTCAGATTAACTGGTTAAAATATTCTTTATGTTTCTGAACTGGTTGTTTTAATTATTCTGGGATTTTTTAATAAGATGCTGTAAAATCTGACTCCAATTAAATACAGGGAAGATTTGCTTTAATTAAGGAAAATGTATGTGTTAAATCAGTTTGGAAGCTAGCAGTTGGTTCTATATGTAGTTCCTGTAGTAGAACGAATGGACTTGGCTGGAGGCACCTGGCTCTTATGAGGGAGGGAGACAGACTGACACATAACGTGCTGTTTTCTGTATAAAGGAGAGAGTGCAGTGTTTGGGATGACTATTATGACGACTTTTAATTGCTGTTTTTGGATGCGCTGGATTATACTAGGATTGTACGGTATTTTTATAATTACAACATTGTATGTAAATTTTCTGCCTTTAAAGACGCAATTTCATTGTAAATGTGTTTATTCCAGCCTGAATTACCACCTGATGAATTGTTACAACCTTGTTAGAATTAATTCATTAAAGGGCTTCTCCCTGATTGGTTATATTGTGAAGAAGGTGCTAAGTAACATGAGAATAGAGCTTTTAAGAATAGTAGAAGTTTTGGCTTTATTTTGTTAGACTGTGTAATCTAGATATTCTAAGAAATTCATTGAGTTATTTTTTTGTGAACTCTGTCTACAAAACATAATTGGAGAATGTGACTAGAGGGGTTTATTATGCTCCTCCTATATTACTGTTGAATGTTATTAGTGGTTGAGAATTGATCCATATTCACCAAAGATTACCATGAATTGGCAACAGTTTATGGTGACCAGAATAGGAATATTTTTCTGTTTCCAGAGTACTTAGAATGTCTAAATTAATAATTCTTTATGTTTTGAGGTGAAGAAAGAATTTGGAGCAAAGGTCACAAATTTGTGACCTTTCTAAGACTACTCCCAGATGCTTTGATTAGACAGCACAGTATTTTTTAAAGGAATTGGGATTAATTACTAACATTTATAATTCAGGAGATGACACCAAGTAATCCAGATTATTATATTGTTGAGATCTGAACTTTAGCTAGCTTTGGGGGCTGTATTTCCACATAGTAAAAACCACCTGCCGTATTGTCACCACGTTTGGGGGGAGTATACTTTTTTTTTTAACAACAGTCTGTCATGCTTAGTTGTCTTAGGTTGCTGACTTCGCTTCACGCCTGGCCTCTGTGTGTGCATTTGAGTTTATTACCCATGGTCTGGGAAGATGTAATAAACCAAGCCAGGGAAAGGTTTAGCTCTCTTTAGTCACGCGTATCAGGTTTAAGTCTCCCTTTGGAGTGGGGGCTGCCTTGTGGGGATTCCGTATGTACATAACTGATAGGTGACTTCCTTCACATGTTGGTGAAAATAGATACAGCTAACAAGTATTTATACTAGGGTCTATAGTAAGTGCTTAAAATGAGCCAATTCACTTAATCTTTAAAAACTTTTGAGGTGTAGGTACTGTCACTCTGAGGCACAAAGAAGTTGTTACTTGCCCCCATAAGCATAGGTGATAAGTGGCAGGCAGGATTGGAACTGTTTTTTCACTCTGGAGTTAGTGTTCACCAACTGCTGTTATGCTGTCTCTGAAATAGACCCTAGCCATTTTCAATTTGGTGGTTGTCCACATAGTTACAGATAATTTCTTAGGGTGATTATTTTTAGCCATTGAAAGACTCTTAAATGATCCAAGTATGTCACTGGGGCTCTTGTGTGCTGACTTGGTAGTTCCTGGATTTGAAAAGCTTTCTGCCTTTCGCTATCTACTTTGTGAAGTTTGGGATTGTTAAAAAGTTCTAGTTTTAGCATGTAGGTCAGCTTTACAAATAAAAGGACTTGCTTAATTCCTGATACTGGGAGGCGAAGAATTGAAGGAGAGAACATTGCACCTTATCTTACTTAATCTTTATGTGGCCTGCAAGGTAAGAATGAATATTGCCTTTTTAAAGGGTTTTTTTTTTTTTTTTTTTTTTTTTTTTTTGAGATGGAGTTTCGCTCTTGTTTCCCAGGCTGGAGTGCAATAGTGTGATCTCACTGCAAGCTCCACTTCCCGGGTTCAAGCAATTCTCCTGCCTCAGCCTCCCAAGTAGTTGGGATTACAGGCGCACGCCACCACACAGGCTAATCTTGTATCTTTAGTAGAGACAGGGTTTCTCCATGTTGGCCAGGGTGGTCTCAAACTCCTGACCTCAGGTGATCCACCCGCCTCGGCCTCGCAAAGTGCTGTGATTACAGGTGTGAGCCACTGCGCGGGGCCTCTCAAGGTTGCTTTTTTTTTTTTTTTTTTTTTAAGGCGGCAGTGTAAAGTACTTAATGTGTGGTGGTTGGTTGGTTGGTTGAGGTGGAATCTCTCTATGTTGCCCATACAGTTCTTGCACTCCTGAGCTCTGGGCTCAGGTGATCTTCCAGCTTCAGCCTCCCAAATGTGTGGTTCTTAATAAAAGTGTAAACCTTTGGAAGGATGTCATTACCGAAAATCTCTTGGGCTGTTAAAGTCACACTGGTCTTAACTTGATCACGGTAGATCCATTGCTAAGCCATATAAGTCATGGGTAGACTGTAACATAACTGACAAAATGTTTTGGCACTAAGGAAGGCTTAAAGACTTTTCTGCAGGTGCTACTAAGGGAGAGACGTCGAAGGTTCCAAACTGGAACCCTAAAGACAAACATCAATGACATGTATGCGGGCGACATTAAGAGAGATTCATATGCTGGTTAGATTAGCCATTGATCTTAAGCTGGCAAGAGGTCATCTGTGTTCACCAAGTCACTGATACGTGTAGGTCCCACTCCCGTGTCCTCCCAAAGTAGAATCCTTTACTCTTGAAATCTAAGATAGAGAACTAGTATACAGTTTGACTGGTGAACAACGTGAGTTTGAACCGCACAGGTCCACTTACACAGATTTATTTTCATATATAAATATATTGGAAAAATGTTTGGAGATTTGCAACAACCTGAAAACTTCAGATGAGCCACATAGCCAAGAAGTATCCCCCAAAATAAGGAAAAGTTGAGTATGTTATGAATACCAAAAATATGTAGATACTAGTCTGTTTTATTATTTACTACCATAAAATGTACACAAATCCATTAGAAAGTTAACTTGGCCATTTGCAGTTGAGAAATG